GACGGTGTTGATCTGAAAGGGCTGAGGAGGATCGCGGGATGAAGGTGCTCGCCCCACAGATTCAAAGGCAATTGTTTGACGCCAGAGAAGTGGAGGCTGAGGCGACGGTGCGTGAACACTCTCGGAGAAGCTGGACCTAGATTGATATCGCAGCTGGCCATCGCGACTCCCGTGCGTCTCGTTATCTTTGGCCACCGGCCGTGAAACATCCAACACACCCCGCAGCTTGCCTTCACAGCAGGCACACACGATCCCTCTGTTCCTGACACTTCAGAGCAAAGATGAGCAAGCCCTGGACACACTTGCCGCAACGCAGGCTGTCCGTGTCTACTTAGTCCGCAGCTTAGCTATCGGCAGCGATGCCGTGCAAGAGGGCATCGACCGCCGGAGCAATACCAACTTTCTGGCGGGAGTTGGACAAGCTTATTTCTGGCTCTCAGAGGGAGGAAAGGAACAGGGTAAACGCGTCATGCGCGGGAATTAGATGTGAAGAAGAGCGTGAAACCAAGCTGCGTGTTTCCACGATTCACCATTCGGGTATGTTTTCACTCCGCAGATCCGATGTGTGTTGTGCTGATCGTTTGAGCTTAGTATACCGTGGAACTGCTCAATTTCTCGGCCACCGGATTCGCACCAACAGGGTCAGAAAACGAAGAAAGCTCTGATTTCTGAGCCCGTGCGAATCACAACTCGGAGCATCCCTGGAATCGTACCCAAATCATATGCTCCTCCCGGATATGAGAAACCTCCCGAGACCGATTATAACTCGGCCTTTGGCTTCCTGGAGAACGGAAACCAAAGATTCAGTGCGCAGGCTTTGTTTCCGCCAAGCAGCTGACTAATCCGGGGGTAGTGCACACCATGGGTCTGGGATGCCCTAGGGACCAAGTTGAATGTCGTATTGCTGAGCAAACAGACGAAATGTTTACCTCATCGCTCAGTCATCCAGGGACATCAGTAACAGAGTTTCGAATGTATCATCGCTCTTGGGCGAACGATTTCCGGGGAGCAGCCCGTGTAACAGATCGTGGTCGTTTTCGGGTAGCAACCATGACATCGACTCATCGCGGCGCCTTGCAACGAAGACAAAAGTAGGATCCTGCATCGTGTTGCCAAGCCGGGACCATTCAGATCCAGATTGTGTCCGGTACAGCACAGGCTCGAAAGTGAACCACAATCCGAAGGCAGACCAAAAGGTTGTCTCCTTCGCGAGACTGCGTATTTGTAGGATATGATAACCTGGGGGCCGAGGTCACGAGTGCCAGATGTCAGATGAATAAGAGAGCGGAGGAGCGGTCCCAAAAGTTCCGGAAAATAGACGAGATCGCTGCACAGGACATGGGTGATATTCGATGGGGCTAGTTGCTTGAGCAGTTGCGATGCATGTTCTGCGTTTCCCCATGATAGCGGTCTCACAAGGATAGGCCCGCCGTGCGCTTGGAGATGCGGTCTGAGGTTGCGCTCGAGCAGCGGACACACCTGGAGAGACGGAAGGGTCGATCATCGATTCGGTTGACGGAAGAGCGTCTTTACTTCAGGCAGATCGGTGGAATACATGATATCTCGGTCAGGGCGCAGCCGAGTAGACATCGTGTTCGCCACGATACCCGAACCAGACCCCAGCTCTACCACTCTGATTCCGTCGGCGGATGGCGCGAAAAGCGGCTCGTATGTCACTTCGGCGATGGGAACCAGGTACTGGATGAGCAGATAAGCTGCCTCCCTGGAAAAAGAAATGGATATCAAGTGTCGCATGTAGTGATAGAAAACGTAGACACTCCCCATACCCGTCCTGCGATGCCAAACTGCGAGATATCTCGCTGTTGCTGATCATAGTCGAACTGCTCAGTGCCTTCGGCGTCGATGGCAGGAACAAGAGGATGAATGTCCAGGTTCTCAGGTAAGTTCGGGTTCGCGCTCGCCATTAGTGAGAGATGCGTGTCCCCAGCGATGGACGTCGGGAGCAAGATAAAAATTTGATCCCAGATCTCTTCATCTTATCATTATCAGCAGTCTCCTTCATTTACACGTGAAACGATCTTGCACTGGATCATTTCTTCCCCGAGGTTGTCCAAACCCCGGACGCCGGTCAACGCCTTACCAATTTCTTGCTCTCCGCCATGTCCGTACAGTCGAAAGCAGTCCCGGTTAAGCTGACGCCTTTGGGTATGGCTCTGGCCGGTGCGCTGGGAGGCTGCTTTAGCACAGCGTGAGTGGCAAGGTCGCAGTCCAGACTTCGTCCACTGATATGCCTTGGAAACAGCGTCGTCTACCCCTTGGATGTGTACGAGCCTTCAGCTCGGCAGGTGGGATTGAGCTCTAATACTTTGCAGGGCGAAGACCCAGATTCAAGCCTCCAAGGGGAAGTCCAAGGCCGACCTCTCGATGCTCGCCGTCCTCATCAGGATATTGAAGAAAGAGGGTATCTTTGGATGGTACCGTGGATTTTGGGCGACAATGATCAACACATTCTCTATGCGTACGCTTTGTGTCCCCTCTTTGAAACCTGACACCCAATTGTCGATGCAGAATATGCGTATTTCTTCTTCTACTCCATGGTCCGCACATCCTACATCCGGCATCTGACAAGGAAAATTCCGGCGGGGTCAAAAGTCCCAGCACTGTCTACCGCAGCTGAACTGCTCCTGGGAGCAGCTGCCGGCGCACTAGCCCAGATATTCACCATCCCCGTTTCTGTTATTGCTACTCGGCAACAAGTCGGTCGCACAAGCAAGGAGGGAGAGTCGAAACCGCAAGACGACTCGTTCTTTGGTGTTGCCCGTGAAATTATAGATGAAGAGGGCGTTGGGGGCCTGTGGCTCGGCATTAAGCCCGGATTGGTCTTGACCGTAAACCCGGCCATCACGTACGGTGTCTTCGAACGCATCAAGAGCCTGGTCATTGCGGGGCAAGCCAAGGCGGGTGGCACCGAGAAGCTTGCAGCTGGATCGTCGTTCCTCATCGGCGCGATGAGCAAAACATTGGCCACGGTGGTGACCTATCCGTACATTATGGCTAAAGTGCGGATCCAGACGCGTTCAGCTGACGAGGATGAGGCTGCCCAGGCTCATTTGCCGGCTCCGTCCTCACACCACGCCCACCACGACCACTCACAACTGAAGCACCCAGGGGCCCTCGATATCCTGGGCCAAGTGCTCAGGAAGGAAGGCTTCGTTGGCTGGTACAGGGTGAGCGTAATCAATGACATTCGTCCAAACTGTCTCTCACGGTGACAACCAGGGAATGTCCGCGCAAATTATAAAGGCTGTTCTTTCCCAAGCCTTGTTGTTCATGTCGAAGGAGCAGTTCGAGCAGTGGGCTCTCAGGATTATAATTATTTTCGCACGTCTTAGATAGATCTGGCATTGGATAAAGCACGCTGATACATATAACTGTACCGCAATCTAATCAAATTAGCGCGTTGTTGTGCCGAGTTTTGCTAGTCCTCCTCCATGTCTGTTCCAAGCACCCCACACGGCAAGGCCCCGGTGAACCCTCAGACACCGACCATCTCCCGGCTCGCGTCATCCACTGTCCAATCCTCGCCGCACTACAGCACCACCCGGCGGCACTCGCTCTATGGCGTCGAGGACCGCATCGTCATCGACCCTGGCTCACGCGTATGGAAAGTGGGCTTCAGCGGCGAGGGACGACCGCGCGATGTCTTCTACGGGATGGGGGCGCCGGAACCGGCGCTTTGGACGCTTGACCGCGGCGCAGATGACGCGGAGGAGTTCGAGAAAGAGCGCATGTTGGAGATCAGGCTGGAGACAAGCTTGAGACGCGTGTTTCACGAGTGAGTGAGTGGAATGTCTGCATCGGGAGCTGGGTTTTCTGATATTACTTGAGCTCGTTGTTGACAGATCCAAAGGCGAGGAAAGTTATCATTGTCGAGCACCCGTTGCTGCCGCTCTATATCAAAGATATGATTGCTCGAATCTTGTTCGAGAACCTACAAGTGTGTTTCTCCTTACTATTCTCGTCAAATCCTACTGACGACTTAGGTTCCTTCTTTGTCTTTTGCTTCGAGCCACCTGCTATCCCTGTTTGCAGTCGGTCGAATAACAGGGCTCGTGCTAGATTGCGGTCACCTAGAGTCTGTTGCTTTGCCAGTCAGTCGACATCGCTCTCGTCTCTATCCCTGCCTGACATTGTGGAAAGGTCTTCGCAGCCAGACCAATGCATTCTCTCCTCCGAGCGACCCCGCTTGCAGGAGCGCGCCTCACCGCCCACCTGCGGGCGCTATTACTTCTGTTCGGCACATATCTACCTCCGCCAACATCTCTGAGCGGAGCCGCCAACATTCCAAGCGCCAGCCGGGCTACCCGTGTTCCGCAAGAAGTCTTGACTGACGCAGTCATTGAAGAGATCAAGAGCCGGTGTTGTTTTGTCGGCTCGTCCCTGGGACCATCGACGGATGCGCATGAAAGAGACGCGACGCCTGGGCCAGGGGACGATTTTTCCGAGGCGGAGATGCCACCCAGTGACTCTACGCATTCGGAGTCTGATTTCTCACTCGCTGGGAGAGAAAGCTCTGTATCGCACGAGTCATCAGAGTTCTCGATGGTCTCTTCGAATGTGCGCGGGGGTGCGTCACGAGGCGGCCAGCACACGGAAGGACATCTGCAGGGCCTCGCAACACTGTATCAGCGGCATTCGACCGCGACCGAGCTGCACATGAGTGTTGTGCCGCCCGCTTCGCAGCAGAATGGGACTGGGCGCGGTACCTTAGTCATTCCAGGATGGATACGTGAGCGGACGGCGGAAGTGCTTTTCGAAGGAGGGGACGTTGACGAGCGCAGCCTTGCGGAGTTGGTCCTGGACTCGTTACTGAAGGTGAGTTCGCTCAGTCGAATGGTGATCCCACTCATAGATGAGTAGGTCCCTGTTGACCTGCGTAAAACCCTGGCTTCGTCAATCCTGGTTGTGGGAGGGACAGCGATGCTCCCTGGCTTCATACAGCGACTTCACGAGGAGCTCATCCGAGCTGTCTCGCCCTCGCCTGTGCTGCCCAGGCCAGGGGGCAAATCAGGCCGCCCCCCACCACCGGGATACGATCCGTATGCGCCGTTGAGGCCTCTGCTCCCTTACTTTGCCATCCTCAACGACCCCAATCCGCCGCCCCCCACGACATCCAGAGCGAAAGGGAATGCCGGGAAGGCACCCGCGTTTACTCCTGCGACGATGGCTTGGATCGGTGGATCATTAGCCGGGTCAGTATGCTTTCATGCCAGCAGGACAGTCACTGAGGACTGCCCACAGCGCGCTGAAGACGGGCGGCGTCGAAGTGAATCGCGAGCAGTGGGACATCGCACGGGATGACGACAGGCATCCGGACGCGATGGACATCGATCGCCCGCAGATCGTCTTACCCGACTGGACGAGATCGCCTCTGCCCGTGGGGGCGCCTCCTGCCCGAGCCGTTCAAGAGCCTACGACTCCTCAAGTAGCGATCACAGCATGACATCCATTACATTGCATTCGAATTGCAGGGTCCGTTCTGTCTGAAATCAAAGGTCGAAGTAGATAAGTAAGACCGGTAGTCCCTAGCGGACTAGGCGTAAAAAAGGTACTATCGAAATGAGGAAGATGGGTAAGTGAAGGAGAGACAAGGGAATCATCGGATGGATATCACGACACGATGCGGAGAGTCAGTTTCGTTCCGTCCAGAGAGGCACGCAGCTGCTCCCAGTCAGCTTCCTTGGCGATGGAGATCGGTTCTCCCGAGCTCCTCGTCTTGGTCGTCGGCTCCTCGGATTTCGATGCGGGAGTGACATACGCAAGCGCAAACCCTTCAGGCAGGTCCTCGTTCTCCTGGGCTTTGAATTTGTGCCTGAGCCGGGCCCGGACTTCCTGCAGACCGATCGCCCGGTCATCGTCGGCGTCGGCGTCGGCGTCGACCTTGAGCAGAATGATCGAGCTGTTGTACACGGCCTTGATGACGAGCGGGCTGATCGGGATGGACGCAACGGACGTCGCGGTCGTCTCCGACGAGCACGAGGAGGAGAATGAATAGCGCGAAGGGGTGATGGTGGTCCCGGTAGAGTCGGAGAAGCGCGAAGACGAGGTGCAGTCGGAGAGCACGGATGCCGTTCCTGAGCGGAGGGAGCTGCTGGGAGATGGGCCGCGGCGGGCGGCCAGCGCCTCCTGTCGGCGCAGCAAATACGAGCCGACGGGCGTGCGCGGCGCTTCCGGTGAGGCAGGGCGCAGCGAGTCAATCGGTGATGACGGCGCCGTGTGATATGCAAGCGAGTCCGCGTCCTCAATAGGTGAGTCAGGAACGAACGAACATGGCCGGGGGAAGGAGTCTGAAAACAAGATCAGCGGACGCAGGCTCCAAAGCTTATCCGGCTCAAGACTGACCGAGGAAACCACTGTCCAGAACACTGTCTGTGTCTGAAAACAGGGATGATCTTGATATTGTTGCCCGAGAGTCGGGTCGCGGGAGAACCCCATCTGCAGACGCATCCGTCCGAAAGGTTGCGACAGACATGCGACTCGAGTGTTCCGGAATGTAGTACCGAGGAACGACTCCCTCAGACGAGATATCCGTCCTGAAGGTGGCGATGCTGGCCATAGACATCCGGGACGACAGCCGCCGCTCCTCCTCATCCGGCAGCCGTACATTGAGATCGTCGACGAAGGACATCCCAGATGTAGTCGACATCCAAGAATCTCGCGCTGCTGAAAAAAGAATAAAAACATCAGCAAATGCAATGAAGAAGAGAGTGCGAGTCGCGCACCTGAAGCATGGGTTTTCCCGCGTTTCTTGAATTCGACCATTTCGGGCAGCACCGCGAGCTTGTTGCTGTCTTGGGTTGGGTTGTGGCCGAACGGCACCGACCTGTCGTCCGATGCGATGTAAACGCTGCTAGCCAGTGAGTTTCGCGAGCTTCCTGAAGACGTCGATGCGTCCGACGAGGATGCAGAGGAGACGGCGCGGGTCCGGCGGGTAGCCGTCGACGATACAGTGTCCGTCGATCCCCGCTCGGCGGCGTAGAATGAATAGATAGTGCTGGCCGGTTTTTTCTTGGGCGGGCTCTTGAGTTTGCGCGCGATATCCCGGTCTTTCTGCCATAACGCGAAAAAGGCCCGGACCTCGTCTTCCTGGCGGTACTCGTCGAGCAAAGTCGGCACATCGTCCCTCCAGAACGCGGCCATGAAAGCTTTAAGCTCGACCTGACGCTGGTCGATCGTCGACTGGCTTGTGCGGAACAGCGTCCCCTTCTTGGTGAGCTTGGGTACTAGGTCGTGGATATCTAGCACGACAGATTCAGGAGCCGGCCCGGGCGGAAGGGAGTCCCACGACGAGGCGCGGTCCGAGTTGATGTACACATCATTCTTGCGCACGCCCTTGCCTTTCTTGAGCCGGTTCTTCTTCGATCGGGCGAGCTGCGAGTACTCTCTCTCAAGCATATCTTGGAAATAGAGGCAGTCTTCCCAACGGCGCATGATCTCGTATTCCGTCTGGGAGCTCTTGGAGCTTAGCGAGACGCGATCGGTGTACATCGGCGTGATGCGCATGCACATGTAATGGGAGCCGTCTGAAGCCATAGTGAGCGAGCACAGTTTTTTCGTAGTGGGACAGTGGAATGCGCACCGATTTTCAGGGGAGCGAGAGTTTCTACCGAGAATACAGCGGGCGCAGGTTTCACCACCGCACGCGAAAACACCTGCCGCTGGTCAATCCCGGCCGTTTACCGGCGAGATTTGGAAGCACTCACATCCGCAGTTTGAAGAAAGTCCCCGACGGACGGCATATTGACAGACGCGTAGCCTGCCATGTCGAAATCGGAGGATTCGCAGACCAGCAGGGGAGGTGAGGGGCGTCGTCGCACAGTGGAGGGGTGGAGAGAGGGAGACAATGGGTGATCGAGTTTGCCGTGCCATTAAGATCAACGCACAAAGAGGGCTCGGAGCTGAGACGAATCATGCGCGCGTTATTGTCTTGCAATCGGAAAGAACAATAGAGCTGGGAAGATCACGATCGAAGCCTTCCTTTTTGGGCGCGACAGAGTGTCTGCCGCCCTCCCACGTGACAGATTCTGCCCCGAGCTCAGCGCATAATGGTCCTGATCGTGGCCACGTTTTTCTTGTGATGTTCTTTGAGTGTGCATGCTGGCCAACTCGGAGGCGCGAGTGGGAAGCACGAGGCAGTGGGCAGTACAACGAAGAGCTCCGGGACGTTGACGTAGCCACCGCCAGCCCAGTGCACTCGATCAGGGCCTCGTGCAGCTGCACAGGGGTCGATGTCAGCGTAATGAAGTGTGCGACGGCACCCGCGAAACACATGGCCGTTCAAAGCACCAGAAAAGGCAACATGCAACACACAAGCGAGGGGATGAGGTGGCGGGTGCAGGGTGCGAGCCTCGGGAATTGTTGTTGGCAGTCGTCTCGGACTCGTTAGGTCCCTTCTTACGTTCTCTGTGCGGTTGCGGTGGCTCTGAGTGCAAAAGTTAAATAAAAGGTCAACGGTTGCTTTATCAGTGGCTGTAGAATGTCACGTGCCACGGTTGGGTTTTGCAGCACTTGAAAATTTCCAGAACTCTAACCAAATTTCCGTCCATCTTAACCGCCACCAGAGCTACTTAGCGTTTGAATCAAGGGTTTTTTTTACTGGCTCATGATGAAAACTCTTGAAATATCACATCCTTCAGGATGTGATTGATTGGCAACAAAGGTTCTCCTTTAACCTTATTCAGCAAAGTCAACCACAACCTCTGAGCCAATCGACTGCCGACGTTTACCGACTTGGACCAGACGCCGCACGATGTGACGGATTGACATGAGTTCCCAGGTGTGAAAATCTCTCGCCCATCCGCTTCAAAAAATATGTACACTCTGCCTCTTTGCTTTTCAATTCAGTGGTTCGGCATATGTCAGCCATGAGCGCGGGTCATCGACACATACGGGGTTGCATTCGTGTGCAAATATTAGCCCACTGTAGGCAAAGTCGGAGACACATGATGGACGTGGAGGAGGAGAAGGCATAGGACTCGATGATTGGCTTGCAAAAAAGTATATAATTAGAAATTCAATGGAAACTCGCCAGGCGAACTGTCTTGACCGGCCCAGTGCTCGTGTGAATGGAAGCTCCGATTTGTGGCAAACAAAACCAAGCCGCGCGGTTCCGTCAGGGTCTCCCAACTCTTGACCAACCACCACCACCACCTACCAACCTCGAAATACGATGAGCTCCAAGTCAACTTCCTCCAACTCGGGGTCGGCGTCCTCGGGCAACGACTATACGATCACTAGCACGGGAACAAACTCCCAGGTCTGTCCTCTTGTGCCCAATTCTCGACAACGTCGACTGAGACTCTGACGCAGGGCAACCACTACTGTCATCGCGAGTCGGACTCTGGGAGCGGATACCATTACTCGAACAGGTAGGAGTTTCAAGTCATCTCGTCCTCGTAGGAGGATCTGCTCTCTCTCCTCTCGTCTTTCTATTTCTCACACACGTATCATAGCAACGGCAGCTACTACTACAGCAACTCGAACGGCTCGACCTACTACAACAACGGCCAAGGCAATTCGACTTATACCTCCCCCAGCGGCAATGTCACGCGTAAATAGGCGGCCGCCGATGCGCCTTCTGGTCGTCGAATGATCTTGTTGCGTTCACGCGCGGCGAAGTATCTGCAGAGAATCTGAACCAGACTCAATCTTCCTGTGCCAATTACTTACCTTCCATCTCCCTTGCAATCAAGTGTTTGTTCTCTCTTCGCCTCTCGCAAGCTTCGGAAGCTCAACATTCAACCGTGAGATGCAAATGATCCGATCCTTTGTTCGCACACTCCGTCATTCCATGCGCAATACGCGCTGAGATCTGTGTACAGTATCTCCATGACTGGATCTCGGATTTTAACACACAATTTGTATTCAGAAGCCTCCGGCGACCTGCCGAGATCAAGTCAAGATGTTAAGAAGATTCGGCTACCAAGTCCGATATACTGCTGATCCAGGCTGATCCGCTAACTGTTCCGCTCAGCCGTGGGTGCTGACATCATGAGCAACAGCACAAGTAAGTCGACAGTATCGAGTGCAACGGCACGGCCAAGGATTTCATGCTCGTTCAAGCAGCAGCCACACGGTAACGGCGGGCAGACCGCGTTTATTCCCCGGCGTTTCAAGTCAATCTGACATGTGCTGAGAAACCAAGAGAAGTTCCAAGGATAACATGCGGCATTTTGCATGGGAGTGGGAATACGGAGCCCAGATAAGTGCGATCTCGAGTGCTGTTCAGAGTTTCGAAGCAGCAGCCATTCTCGTTGGGGCCGTGGAACTGGCGAGAACAGAGACCTGATTGCCCGCCCTGGCAGCGCATCCCGAGGAAAGTCCTCTTCCTCGTGGCAAACTCCGAAAGCTTGATGACCGGGAACTAGCAGCCTCGATTCGAATCAAGGGACGAGAAGAGCTCCTTATCGGCGACTGGGGTGGGGGAACCAGCACGCGCTGGCTTGGCAGCTGTGCAGTCGCACGAGATCGGAGGAAGTTGTTGGTCCAACGCGTTCGATGACCATTCAGGTTGCCAGTGTCGTGCTTGACGTGCTCAGAGGACTAGATATGAATTGGATAGTGAACATCATCCACCCGGGCCGACGACCAAGTGTCGGCATCTTGAGGCTGTTTTTGACTTTGCCCGAGACGGGATGGGTGGACACCCGATTACGAGAGCTGGATGAGAACTCCCGAGCTCATTTTTTCCGAATACAAGCATCGCGGAAGAACGCTGTGAATCGAAGAGGGATCTGGACGTCGCGCGGTCGACTACGGATCTCTGCACACCCTGGTTCTCTGGAATCACCCGGCATTTCGGCCCAGAATCCCTTGTGGAGTAAGCGGCTGCGCTTGTAAGGCGAGAAGCGTTGATTCACTTTCTTCACTTGAGGTCGGAGAGTACTTTCAAGTTCCACAAGTTGACGAAGCGGCCTGGTGTTCGGCCGAGACAGGAAAAATGCTGATTCAGGTCTGCCTGGCCCATGACCTGCAAACAATCCGACAAGTCGGCGCGAGATGGACCAGATTTGAAATCCGATGGGATGCTGATATAACCGTGAGAGTCAATGAGGCAAGCGCAAGCACGCTGGCGGAACGTAAGATGCGGGTGTAGACAGACACAGATTTGATTGTCCAGATTTTGTATTGTTGTCGACTTGCTTTCAGTTGTCCTTCCCCTCACTCCGAGCTTTTACGTCTTGGAGTCCTTTGCGTCTCTTCATTGCCGGGCAGCGGGTGCATGTCTGCCTCGCGATACTCTCTCCCCCAGCCCCCCAATGACTTCAGGCTCCCGAGTCTCAAGAGTCTGAATTTCGAGTATCAGCGCGACCAGGAAATTTCGAATGCGACGACTATACCGACCAGTGCTCCGACAATCCCGCATAACGCTTCCAGGCAGCAGGAGGTCGGACGAGGGAGGCTTGCCGGCCATGCCCAAGGGGGAGGACACGTTCAGTGGACGTCGAGACCACCTCAGCACCAGCTGGGTCCTAGCACACAGCAGCCTTCGCCTCCACCAAATGATGTAAATCGTCGTGTGGTAAATCCACATCCTCAAGCGCACCAAGGTCCCTATTCTGCTCGACCTCCCATACACGAATCTGCCTCTTCGCCGTCGGGATCGGGATCGGGGTCAAATTATGGCGCGGTGCCTGTTTCAGTCCCGCAGCATGTTCCACCGACGCACCCGTCGCATTCTCAGCAACCCCAGAGGACGACGCATCCCAGCGCAAATGGGAAGAGGACGAGCAAGTCGGGGCGGAGCTCTCAGCAGGTGTGTCGGCTACCCGTGTCTGACGACGACGTATTTGAGCAAGCCTTAGACCCAACAGCCGTATCCACCCTCGTCATCCTCCTCGTCTCCCTTCTATACTCAGCAGCAGCAACAGCAGCAGCAGCCTAGCCAGCCGGTTTACCAGGGTCCGCCACCGACCCACTCTTATCCAGTCCACTATCCCCCCGCTCTCCACGGAAGTGCCGAACCACCACCCTCTCATGTGCATCATCCACAACCTGCACCTGTGCCTCACCATTCTCATTCGCGGCAATCGACTTCGACTGCCTATCCCCATTCTCAGCCTGCACCGCCGCCTGCCCATCATCATCAGCAGGTGCATAATCCTTATCCGTCGCCAGGGCCCGGACCCCCGCCACCACCGCCGCCGCCCGCACAAGACTGGGATGAGCGACAGTATCATCAGCAGCTGCAGCAGAATCAGTCCCAGCAACGATATGCAGCTCCGTCCCCGCTTTCGCACTATCCACCGTCGCAACAGCAGCAGCAGCAACAGCAGCAGCAACAGGCGCCGCCTCCACCACAGGCTCAATATATGATGCAGGATCAGCGTTTAAGAACCAGAACAAGCTCTCAGTCTCGGTCTTCGCTGCATGGAGCAACGACGCCGGTGTCTAATCCCTATGTCCCCCCTCAGCCAGCGCATTCGTTATCGCAGCCACCGCAGGGTCCCCCCGCGAGCTCGTCGAGTTTATCCGGGGCTCAAGCACATTCGTATCCGCCGCCATATACACATGCTTCGCATCCGCCGACACCGCCGACACAACAGCAGCAAACGCACTCGTCCTCGCCCCTGCTGCTCTATCCCCATCAATCACATTCCCAATCGCTTTCGCATCCGCCCCCAGCGCCGCCGCCCTCCGCGTCGCCGCCGTCGTCGTTCTCTGAAACGCATGGGCCTCCTCAATACTCACATTCATCGTCGCTGTCAGGCTACGCGTCCCAACGGCACTCGCGGCCGACAGAGCAGCGGCCGGCACCGTCGCAGAGGTCCAGCTCGGTAACTTCCGCGCCGGCTGTTTCGCCCGTCGCGTTGACACACCATCGGCAACCGTCGGGGCCTCGACAGCCGCAGCCGCAACCGCAGCCACAGCCACATCAAGTGCACCATCATCGGCCATCGCAGCCCACCCCGCCGGCGCCGCCACCTGTGGATGTCGCGCAATCGCAGCAGAATTTTGCCTCTGTTTCTCCTGTGATGTCCAACAGGCCGCCTCGCCGACCGACACCCGTTACTGCTCCCCACGTGCTAACCCCAGCTAGTGCTCGGACGCCGACTTCTGCGACGTTCGAATCATATCGGAGCAATCCTCCGCCACAGACGACGGCTGGAATGGGATCAATAGCTCCGAGGGATCTCTACGTAAATGCCAGCATGGCCGAGAAGCAACATGCCGCGCATTCGAGAGGCTTGTCACATTTGCAGCACCCGCCGCCGCCTTCACTGCCGCCGCTCGTAACTCAGCCGTCTCCCGTGCAGCTCGCGCCGCCGATCCAGCATCCACCGCCGCCGCCACCTCCGCTTGCTCAGCCCATCCCATCGCCACAAGAAGCGCCACCGCCGCCCAATCCCAAGGCCAGTTTCATGAATGGGGTTTGTGCCCTTGGTTTTCTCGCGCGCCAGATGATTGACAGCCATGCACAGATTGTCGAGCATTGCACAGTTTTGTACCAGTTTGCGAGCCACTGGGCGCAGGCACAGGCGCAAGATCCAAACGTCCAGCCGTCTCAGCAAGAGGTCGCTGCCATGGCTGGGCGCGCGGCCGAAGTTGTCCGCTTGCTCGAGGAAGTCCGGAAGCTGACTGCTGAATCTGCCGCTGCAGATTCGATGAGGGGCCGCGCGACCCCGATGGACGTCGACTCTGCGGGTCCGAATGACCACGGAAGAGGCCCGAAGCGGACTTGGGCGGAGATGCAGGGCGCGGAGGATGGCGAGGATGAGCTAGAGGAGGCGCGTCATATGAATTTCGGCGGTGTTTTGCCCTTGTCACTAATTGTTGAAAACAGGATTCCGAGCCTCAGCCATATCCCACGCCGACAGAATCGAAAACATCTCCTCCGGTGCAGTCGGGCAACAGCGTGTTTGATTCCAACCCGCACAACGAATCGCCCGAGGCGCAGACCACCGCGGAGTACGACATGGAGCTGATCCGCGTGAAACGGGCTGCTACGGGTGGGACGGTGGGTCCCATGGGCCCCACAGCCAAGAACAAATACCGGAAACGCAGTGTGAGTGTCAATGTCGGCTTGAGAGGGAATGTGCCTGACGACTTGGCCCATGTTTGGTCTGGACAGAGGGCCACACCTCCTGGTAAATGTCATTCGTGTCAAATCCAGGAGACTCCGGAATGGAGGAGAGGCCCTGACGGTGCCCGAACGTTGTGTAATGCGTGCGGTTTGCGTGAGTGATTTGCCTATCTCTGTGACGTTCGGAACTGTTAATCGTCATCCAGATTACGCCAAAATGTTGCGGAAGCGGGAAAAAGAGCACCAGGCGGCTGGGAACAACGGGGAAGTGCCCAAGATTGACATGGAGGCCTTGCGAGCATCGGCCAAAGCCGACTTGGCAGAGAAGAGTGCCCGGAAAAGTGCGCAGCAGTCGCAGACGCCTGCCGAGAAGACCCAGATGCCGGCGCCCTCGCATTCGCACCATGAGGGCACATTCCAAGTCACGTTCTCGACCATCGGACCGGCGGATGTGCAGGCGCAGCTGAATGGACGGGCGAATGGGTCTGTTAAGGCCGAGCAGGCTGGGCCACCTCCTGGGCCGGCGGCGGCGGCAGCACCGATGATGACGACGACGACGACATCCTGGGCCACTGCGCGGAATTACACGCCGGACCAACAACCGTCGTTTATCCGTGCGAATGCATCCCCACGATGAGCGGCATCCGCTGCAGCTATCCATCCATCCATTCGTTTGCTTTCGATATTGCTTTCTTTCGCAGGTGCCGCCCCATCTACTTAATATTGTATCGTCCTTGCACCTTGGGTATTATCGCCTATCTGGTAGGGCTGGCTGTAGGAGGAGGATGTATGTATCTTTGTGTCACTGGACTAATCCTGATCAACCCTCGCCGATCTGTGCCTTTTGAGAATCGGTACCGGTATCGCCAATCTCATCGGGCTCCCCACGTGTGGCTGTGCGCCAGATATCAGGCGAGATTGATCCCGCGGAAGCAAATTCAGATCGATCCCGGCCAACTTGGTTTTAGTGGTGGTAGTGTTTCTAGAAGAGATGGAGGATGTAACATTGAATCCGTCTACGATCCATCATTGCGCAGAACGTGCACAATCGAGCCCGCCGAGCTGTGTGTGTGATGAGAGTTAACTCCATTTGGAAGTTTCCCTTTTTAGATGACAGGTGTAATTTCCCCGATACTGCCCGATAACGATTCGCTTTGCAAGGCTTCGGAGATCGGCAGCCTAGAAAGTGATAAGTAGCTAGTGTAATACGACTGACGTCAGGACCAAGTGAGAAACAAGTCTTCACGGGTACGAAGCAGGCCAGAGCACAGCATCGACGAATGAATACATATATACAATCTCAATAATACTGGTAAGGTCGACGGCCGTTGAACGAATTCGATATATGCGTCGACTGGAAGTTCGAGCGCGTCGTGTGGTCGCCGCTGATGTTCGTGATCGTGATGTTCCCCCCAAGGGTATTCCCTTCGAAGACATTGGCCCACGTGGGATGCGCTGTGGGTGGGACACTGCCACTGCCGGCCGCCGAGGGAGCGGGGGTCGACATGTGCGGTGGTATCTGGCTCTGTGTCGACTCCGATTCCGATTTAGCTTGGGAGGCTGACTCAGAGTCGAGCTTCTGCTGCTGCACACGTAGCTCGCTGAGGACCTGCACGACATTCTCGTGAATAGAGATGCTCGATTGAAGCTGCAGGACCACCACATTAGCGCTTCCTCCACAGAAGAACAAGATAGGACCCCGTACCCCAAACACATCTAGCGACTGTTTGAGCCGTGCCCGGAACTGGACTATCTGCGCGGCCTGGGACGTCACGGTGAAAACCCGTCGGATCAGGGACCTCGATGCGCTTTTCTCAGCAGAGGCGTTGATCTGTCCGAGAGTCCTATGCAACTCATGAGATGCGAAGCCGACGGAATACTGACATACTAACACTATAAGATCCTCCACGCGCTTGCCGAGGGCGGACGACGGCTGCACCCCCGACTTGGCCAAATCCTCGTACACGAGGACAATTGCAGAAACCAGATCACACGCATCGTTCGCCAGGGCCTTGAACGCCTCCTTATTGTCCCTCACGCCCTGGACGGTCTTGGATATCGTGAGCGCCAGGCCCGCGGCTTGCTGCACGAAGGGCACGGGCGAGAGCTGCGAGGCCGCGGACAGCGTCGCGAGGATCGTGTTCGTAATGTCGAAAGCGGCCCCGCTGCTGTTGATCTGCGGACCCGACTCTTCGATGTTCGAGAAATAGGTCATTCCATGCGGGACCTTGGGGACTGCCGTGGATGGCGAGGGCACAGAAACGTTCGGGGTTGCCATTATGATGAAGTGCTGCTATATGTTGTAAAAATTAGAGATGTTTTGAATCCTTCTGCGTGCATCTCGTTTATGTCTTGACCCATGGGGGCGGTGGGCACTGGGGGCACACAGGGAACGAGGACCGTGGGAAGTCAGGAAGCTCTATCAAGCACAGCACGCGCTGATCACGATCGAATGCGCCCACGTGGTCTTACAGGGACTCACCGCCCCGTTTAAGATTAGCGTCCGTCGCTCCACAAGATCGAAAGCAAGAAGTCCGTCACATTATCAAAGAGAAGAGCTTGATACAACAGTCCATGATGATACCAAAGAAAAGAGGTCAATGCAATGTCGTGATAGTGCCCAACTGGGCCAATAAATATGAGTGCAAGAGAGAGAGCGAGAGCGATTTATGATGAGAAAAGTCCGGATCCTAATGCATTCTGACAAGGCGCCGCCAGTTGACACCGAAGAAGCTGCGTTCCTCAGCTATCCGCGCCGAAGGGGTCCCCTCGTCCAATGTCATATTGACAAATGCATGCCTCGCGCGCTCCAGCGACTCGTTATGCGCAAACGGTGGCGAGACACTAGCGAAGCTGTCTGGCAATTCAGCGGCTCCTTGAGAGGTCTGGTGCTCGCTCGTGCTTCCGGTGTTGGCAACTAGATGGATCAATCAGCTGTCGGGGGTTGGGACAGGTTGGGACGATAATCGCTTACGCTCATCGACATTGACGTCATCGAACGGCGCGTCAAAGTCGCTGATGTGTTCTGTGGGCTGCTCCCGCTCCTCAGGCTCGGTCACGATCGGTCTATTGGGTCGGCCATGGGTCCTTGGGTTCGATCGCCGGCGCTTCCACCTGGGACCGAACCCGTATCGTGAGGCACGAACGCCCGATTGGTCGACGGTGGGTCCATAACCTCGTGTCGCGCCGCGGTCTAGATGCGATTGCGGACGAGGGCGAGAGTAAGGGCCGGGGCAGGAATAATCGGACTCGTCATCAGACCAGCCGTATGCGGAAGTGGACTTCGCCCCGCCGTCGTATGCATTGTGCGAGCCAGTCGTGAAGGTGGTGGTCCGGTGATTATGCTGATGCATGTCGCCGCCGACATGCAGGAAGAATCCATCGGAGACGACACAGTCCTTGGCTCCAGCAAAGAATGACATGGCGAGTCGAGGAGAAACAGCAATCAATGCAATGGCTGGGCTGTTTAAATGGGGCCCGCTAGCGAACAGTCTCGCCGAAAACACATGCCCTCACAGCCCAATCTATCAAATCCCAGTCTGTGCAGGGATTCTTCTCCCATGGCATACAGCAACTGCAGTGACAACCCACCTCATGTTCTCCGCAATACAAGCATCTATAATGTTCTAGCGTGTAGGAAAGTGCGTGGCTCGTTCTAATCATCTTCAGCGTCCGCTGCTGCAGGCTCAGGTATCAGAAACCCAACGAGGCACTCGTCCAGCATGAAGTCGGCGTTGACCCATGCATGTGTAGATGCTGCGAGTCGGTGTCAGCACCGCCATGCAACGCCAACGGTTCATTTGAGTTCAACGCACTGAACATGTACGTCCCATCCCTCCCGGCCACACGCATCAGCTCTTTCTCGCCCCCGGGATGGAACGCAAGATACGGCGTGATGTTGTACACCTTCCCGAAAAACGCAGACCAGGCGTCCTCCTTCGTACGGTGTTGTTTCAGGACGGACGGCGGGATGCGCATCAGGCTGTCTACGCCCTGCGATGAGCCTCAGCTTAGTGGCGCACGAGGTATTCAGTGACGACCCACCCTTAGATCGGCGCCGGAGCTTTTGAGTGCCGCCCAATCAAGAGGACTGTGGCCGGGCGTCAGGGCGACCTTCTCACGTTTCTTCCCCGACGGCTTCACAGGGCGCTTCGTCGTTGCCGCAGGCGCCAGCATCAATGAGGAGGAAGCGGACGACCTCGATGCAACGCCTGGTGTCCGCGTCGCGAGCGAGGGGGCAGGCGGGGGTGGCATACGCGCAGAATCCGATAGTATCTTGAGGGAATTCGGCTTCGAGCCCGACGATGCACGTTGGGCGCTATTGGGTGCGGGGAACATGGGGACGTAATTGTCGTCATCTTCCCTCTCCGTCGCGTCCTCGTCGTCCGAAGGAGGGGGCGAGACGCGCACGATGTCTGGAGCATCGGGCACCACCGCAGGCGCAGGCGCCGCTACGGCCGGAGCACCAGTTAGCCAGCTCATCAAGTAAGACGTCATGATTAAACGCAGAGTGGGAGGGAGATTATGCAGAATCGAAGGTAGGAGCAGCAAGAGAGAGCGACGTCCGAGTCATACCTATTTAGTCATTCTCGATTGCGATCAATTGCATCTCCCAGAATGTCTGCCGCATCCTCACCGCCCGCAACGCCTCGCAAAGCATCGATACCTCGGCCCCCACCGTCGCCGCTCCGACCGTCCTCACCGACAACGCCGTTGACTGCGACCGCGACCCTCACCCCGACGTCGCGGCTGTCCAGCGTAGGGCCACCCGTCTCCCCTCGCCGGAATAGCAGCGCGCTGCCCTCCTCGCCGCCGCCGCCCACGACACCGAACAAGACCCGTGCACGGGACCTGCTGCGTAAACACTATGGGCTGGGTGTGGGGCCCCCGACACCGATCCCGGGGCGGACGCAAGATCCCATGAGTTTAGGTACGGTGCGGTGTTCCTCGTGGACGGAGGCAGACAGGCGTATGTTGACGGCATTTGGACCTAGACTCGCCTGCCTTCGATGCGAAATCATACTACGAGCAACTCATCACGACGACGACGCTGCCTGCGCTGATGAAACGCGAGAATGAACTGTTGAGCGGTACGCTACGCGGCCTGCGACGGATTTCATTGCAGGCATCAGTCTACTCATGACGACTCGTATGCAGAGATACGACAGCTGGACAGCGAGCGCCAATCCCTGGTCTACAACCACCATCATGAGCTCATAGCAGCTAGCGACACCATTGCTGCTGTACGTCTCGAATTCTCAGTCTGATCACGCTCGCTGAGTTGGTTGCGCTGCAGATGAAGACGCGAGCGGAGAGCCTTGATTCCGACCTCGACCTTCTGCGCGACGCTTTCTCTGAGATATCACGGCTGTGCTCGGAAGTTTCGATCGAGGAAGGTGCAGAGAACTGATTTATTGTAACTGCTGGGTCGGTACGGACGTTATACAGGGATGCTATCGCTACAAGGATGCCCGTTGAAGGCTGCGTCGCCGGGACGATATTGAAAGGGAAAAGAGCAACGGTCTACGCTGCGAACTTGTGCTTGGGCAACCAGATTTCTACTTGGTAGTTGGCTCCGCCGCGGTGCTCGAGTCCAGTGCTGCTGAGCTGTGAGACAGAGCGAGTGACTTCCAGCCGAGAGCACGTACATGAGGATGTCTTGGGGGCGGATGTATGAGCTGCCGATCTTCCAAGTCTCGTAGCCAGGCTGCATCGGGAACATCTTGCCCTGCTCTCGACGGTCAGCCTCTCGGGAGTCTGAGCAACGTGAGAAAGACTGACCGACACGGACTTGACGAACACCCCGACGACGTTGCAGACATTGAGAGCGAATATGGTGCGGTGCGCGCCGTGCTGCGTTCGCATCCGCTTCTCAAACGGGGGGTAGCCGGGCCACAAGATCCGAATGCGGATCTCGCGGTACGAGAAGCTGGGGTCGAACACCGGACTCTGACCGTCCTCGAGCAGGGAGCTGCACTCGCCCTCGATGTCGTTCATGCGGATGCCGGGCGCGCCGCCGGATGCAGCAGCCCGCTGGGTGCGGAACATGATCGGGGCATGGCGCACGTTGTCGTACCGGATGTCTCCCGACGGCGGGATGGGGTCCACGTAGATCTCCTGCGGAAGCCGCCAGTGATCGAGAGGGCCGTCGGGAAGCCTTGGGCCAGCGGCTTTGGAGCCCCGGCGGAGTTTGGGGACCAGCATCGACGTGTCGGCGACTGACCCGTTGCGCGATCTCGGCTTGGCATACGGTGTGGTGTACTTCGAGGTCGACTGCTGGCGATTAGTTTCCAAAAATCATATGTCCGATCGTTCGAACATTGCTTACGTTTGATCGAGCAGGACCCACAGTCGTGTCAAATACAACAGAGTTGCGCCGAGAAAGCGGTGCGGGTGTCCCATAAGATGGGGTCTGAGGAGCACCGGGGAAGCCATATGTCTGGCTGTGCAGAGACGGCTGAACGAAGCCAGACGGAGAATACGACCGATCGTAGGCTGCTTGCTGGATAGGCTGGTGCGAAAACGAAGACGGGTAAGCGGAGAATTCTGGTGGCATTCAGCATCTCGAGCTGAGCGCTTGGGCAGAAAACTCACGAGCGCCATCCACTGGAATGGCTCCAGAAAAGTGGGTCGGAAGAGCCTCCCTGTTGGAGACCGTGTACAGCGCGCTGGAACCGAGTGCAGCGTAGGCAGGCATTGAAATGTGAATAGCACAGCGAAGAAGGATGCTCTTCCACCCAGCGCATTATTCGGTTATATAGCGACTGAATTTGAATCCTCCAAGGTGGCATTGTTGCTGAAACCTCCAAAGCGCGGCCGGAAAAGCGTAAAGCGCCCGCTCCGTGGAAAGCCTCGCCTTGCGAGTATTGTTTCCCAGAAAGCGCGTGATTGAGCAAAGGTTGCGAGGCCGACAGAAGCATTGCAGAAAATGAATCATTGACTGTCCCGTTTGGGGCAACCCGAATTTCCGCAAAGAGATTTCTTGAGACAAAGCTTTGCGGAAGTTGATGTCAAGACAAACGCCGTAGTCGGAGCAGAGTGTGCTGAGACCCAAGTCCAGAAGAGAGCTTCATCACTATACGTGTTTGTGCAGACACACTAACGATGGTAAGTCAGGTTAAGAATAAGAAGTAGGATTCATGTTTGCTGAGGGCAAGATCTTCCACGCGAAGTTGGGTGACAGCGATGGCTGTGCAAATTAGCCCATTACATCATTGAACATACCGATAGGTCACACCTCGGAATAGCGCGTTACTAGTCTTGATAATCAGATCCGTAGCTCCCATCATGTCCGCAGTGCTCCTAACGAGTCCTTGTCTGTCCTTGTTGCGTCAGTCACGCGAGTTGGGTCGCAGCTATACTTACTGATTTATCGCGAAGTGTCACATCAGGTGGCCGAGAGGCTCGTGACACATGACGTAGCCTTGACCAACACCTGCACTGCACCGCGTACCCATCTCAAACCATCATGGCTACTGTTGGGCCGGAAGCCCAGGATGCCCTCTTTGCCAGCGAATCTCACTCCGTTTCTCATCGTCCGAAGCTCGACAAGAACGTTGTCCCTCCTTCCCTTCTAAGAGCCACAACAAGGCTGCAGTTTCCTCCGAGCTACATCGTCGTCGGTGCATACCGGTTGTTCACAGACAAGGTGAACTGGCAAATCGAGAGAGACTCTCTAGCTCAAACTCACGAATGCCGAGCTAGAGTATATACCTACCTGCCTGGGCCAAGTGTCAACATGGCGTTCAGCGCGGGGCCATAGTGGGGCTGATCTGGGTGCGTCGACTAAGCGATCATTCCGCCCGGATGTCCGACGTGTACTCTCTGTAGGCTTTCTTGACGTTCGGCATTCAAAGGAAGTTCATCGAGGTGTTCCTTGCCAAGTAGGCCACCCTCTGTCATCATCTCTGGCGCTGTGTCTGATCGTAACGGCCCTACAGCTCCCCTCGCGTGACCGGTCTTTCCCATGAAACCATGTTCGGGTATAAGATGCCCTTCACCGTAACGACATGTCAGAGCTTACCAACGTCCTTTACGCGCACCGTACTCATGGGGGTCGTTTCGCAGACGCTGCTGTGCTGATGCTCGGAAATCAAATCACCAACATATTGCGTTTCTTCCTGTCCCGAAACATCCGCATCGCCCGGGAACGCGCATGGGACCAAACAGTCGCGTCTCGCGGGAAAAGCGTTGACTTTTGGTGCGCCGATCTCACTGATCCGTCCTTCAACCTGTTGAGCCTTTACTATAGGATCCCTTACGTCGAAGTACGTTCTCCCCGGCCCTTTTTTGTGAGAAACTCACGATGTGCAGGAATGGGAAACGCCCCCTCGCGTGCCAACGGACACGTGGAGTGGCCGAATGGAGAAGCAGTGGTCTAGCGCCGTCTTCATGTTCTTCCTGAAACGAGGTGAGCCCTGGTATCTCGAGGGGATCGCACCAAGGTCTCATCAGATGATGGACGAATAGCCCTGCTCGTCCCCCTCAACTTGTATCCGGGTCTGGGCATCGTCGTCGCCGCGTGGTTCAAGTCACTGGCGACCGCTCACCGCCAACACACGCAGTATTTCGCCGCAAAGAAGATGTCTGATAAAGAGGTCGCCGTGTTCATGGAGGAGCGCAAGTGGGACTACAGACGTGTGTACTCGGATTGTGCGCGAGGCAACCATTGACAGTTTGCAGTGTTTGGCTTCGCTGCGGCGTTGTTGGAGGGACTGCCCATCATCGGTCTCGTTTTTACGGTCTCAAATCGTGTCGGGGCCGCAATGTGGGCTCACGGTAACCGCCTCCTACTGTGTCTCTTTATTCCCTTTTGACCTTCGCATTCAGATCTGGAAAAGCAGCAGCATTTCTATGCTTCGAAACATGATGTTGAACTGAAGCAGAGAGGTTGAAAGGATATGCAGCGCGTGAATATTCACTCATGTACTCCGAATATATGTAAGCACTTGGCTGACATGTGTTTTGCATCTGCTTCGGCCAGCCATGGTCAGATCGCCGACATCCATCGAGTCGCACAAAGCATCGGTAGAGAGGATGCAAGATGGCAGCAGAACAAAAATGATGGTAATATACTTGATACAGTACGCTGGTGCTACAAGAAAGCGTGTATTCATGGAAGAACGGTCAGTGTCGTGGAAAAGTCCCACAGGCCCGTCCCCCCACTTCCGACGATTTGGGGCGCAGGTGCGGGGGCGCGAGGCGATGCGTGCAGGATGAAGGTCCTGTCACTCATCGGCTGGAGCAACGAGAGGCGAATCGTGTTGGCACCCGCTTGGATATAGTCCGTCACGTCGATCGGCGAGCCCGCGTGCTGCCCCCTCAGATGAGCAGTGGAGGAGGATGAGATTCATATTCCGGACACACCATATCGTAAGGCAACCAGGACCGGCCCCCGCCTCCTTCGCCGCCGCGGATGTCAACCACAAGTGTATTGTCCGGCGGCCACATGCACTCCAGTGCGAACGTCGCATTCGCCTTGTCCGCGGGTGTCGGGTCTCGCAAATTGTCATACATCTCCGAGAGCGCGGCGGTCGACACACAGAGGAGATTCACAGCGATTTTTGGCGGCCTGTGTCGTCGCGTGGCGGGATCCTCGTCTCTGGGTGGCGTCAGTCTGGCGAACGCCAGGAAGAAAGTCAGAGAAACCCACGGCAGCGGAATATCCCATGCGTAGGCGAGCCCAGGTTCGACTTGAAAGGTGACTTCGAGGAGAGTAGACCAAGCACTGCCTACTTTGACCATCCACAGCCCTGGCACGTTATCACATGGATTCTCAGGTCGGGGTGGGACTGCCGGTGGGAGAATTGCGTCAGTTCCTCGGCCAGAGGGTCCTACTGTGGAACCAGCGGTGAACATGTGGCTGGGGACTAAATTTGACAGCAATGATCCTGCTTGTGTCCGATGTGGCGACGGAGAACGCGGGCCATTCGATGACGGTCGCATCGGTTCGATACCCCCGTCAGGTGACCGCCTTCGTGAAGGTGTTGTTTGTCGTTGGGGAGAATACTGCCGTCGAGAAGGGTATTCCCACGGCGGCGACTGGTTGCGGCGCGGAGAATAACGTTGCGGAGATCGACTGTCTCCGGAAGAATGCTGGCGAGGAGAATGGATGAGAGGAGAGTGCGGAAATGGAGAATGGCGCCGTGCCGAATGGTAATGCCCGTTCGGTGAAGCTCGTCGGACTGGAGACCGGGGTCGAAGCGGAGGTCGACTTCTTGATGGATCGAATTCCTCAAGCCTACGGCCTCTTTGTGGGGAAAGGGATTGCACAGAGCGTCGATCACTGCCAAAGTCCCGTTCTTTCCCTTTCAGCGAAGGTCCAGAATGAAATGATGTACTGCGTGGCTCTTGAATCGGAGGTGGCAAGGATTGCCCATTGTTGCTCAAAGAAAGAGGATCCCCGAGACCGTTCCTGGGCTGTTCCGGTGCGAACACATCCTTCAGGCGCGCCTCCCCAAACTTCACGCTCAGTTCATCTTTGACGTGGCCTATCCTCGTGACAAAGGCCTGGACCACATGAGGCGTCAACAATTCATTGATTTTCCGCTCGGTTTCTTTGACATTCAAGTCACGGTCTCGGCGCCTGGCGTTATTGAGCACTGCGTCCCTGAGTGTGATACCCGCTTGTGTACGCGGAGAGTCGCGTTCGAGTGCGGAAACCGGCGCTTCGTCGCCGGTTGTGAAAGGTTGACCGTGTGGCAGAGAGGCTGACACTGCGCTGGCTTCGTCTAGGGTCTGCTTCGTCGAAGACTGGCCCGGCTGGTATTCCTTGGCCACTCGTGCTGGATCATTGATGATCGCATCGACAGCCGTAATGTCCGCAAAGGAGAAAGATGAGGATCCAGAAGATGGTGGGGTGGACCCTTTCTGGTAATAGCCGCTTCGGGTACCATTGGCATCGTAATGCAACTTGGAAGGCTCGGTCTGGATCAACGGAGAGGTTCAAGTAGATCAGAAACCGCCTTGACGCAGTGTCAAACTGGTGAACAAACGCACTGTAAACACCACCGGGCGCCTATCTTCTGCTACTTCTCCGATCTCGATGCTCCCTGCAGAAGTATCCGCGCTGGAGGAACTCGGGGAACTGCTATTGGAACCAAGAAATGAGTTCTGCAGGCTTTCGTTGACATGACCGTTGGCAGTCCCCTCAGATTCCATGTCGATTCTCTCTAGCAAAGGCATCACTTTTGGTCCCAACCGGTTCGACAACGACGAGGGGGACGAATCGGCCAAGTCTGTGCATGCGAGACTTCTTGAGGAAGTGGCTTCGTGAACATGCTGCCGAGACGTCGCGCGGGGATGTGTATAATAAAATCCGGAAGGCGAACTGCTCTTTGAGTTCCATGATTTTTCGGAGGAGGGAGTTGCAGGTGACGAGAGGCGCGCATGTAATGAGGTCTCTGCCATACATAGGGTGCCGCTGAAGTGGGTGGCGATGTTGGCTTGAGAAGTCCACGCACGAGGGGAAGTCGCGGACGCAGGACGCGGTGCAGAACAAATACGAGCTAGATATTTTGATCGCAACTTTCGACAATGCTTTCTCAGTTATGCAAGTCAGCCTTCCTACCCTCTCCGGACGCGTTTCTTCCCCACTCTTAATAAGGGGATAGTCGGCTGGCATGAATCTTCGGCACGGGGAACCGGTGGTCATTGGACCGGACAGTGGCTCACACTTCGTCAATCACAGGTTTAGGAAATTCCGGACTGCATTCTCTCATCCGAACACCCATGTCCACCGTCGATTATTCAGCTCTCGGCTTCAAGAACATCATCGCTCGCCTCGATGGGCCGGTTCTCATTGTTCTTATGAATAGGGCAAAAGAGTGCGTAGCGAATGGGAAGGTTCGAATTGTCCCTCACAGTGTTCATCAGTCGGAACACCTGGAATCGCCCTCTGCCTTCGGAGCTTCGTCAAGTGTTTGAGCTCGCCGACAGGGATGACCGCGTTAAAGCTGTCGTCATGTCCGCAGAACATACAGCTCCGGCATACTGTGCGGGGGCATGTATCGCATTCCCGCACTACTTGCTCTTGTCTCATTTGTCCTGTCCTGTAGGTCGACATCTCTGAGGGATGGAGCTTGCTCTGGGACCCAGAAGAGACGAAGGAGGGCCCTCTTGGCCACCGCGACTCTGGTGGGAAGACCTCTCTAGTCATCTACCGCTGCCGCAAGATCACTATTGCCGCAGTCAACGGGCACGCTGTGAGCCATTCCACGTGTCCCATATTGCCATGGTTTTATGTCTTCGCTCTAGGCTGGTGTGGGAATGACTACTATGCAGCTGCCATTCGATTTCCGCTTCATCTGGAAAGGCGCCAAGCTCACATTCCCTTTTGTTCGGCGCGGTATCGTTCCAGAGGCGACGTCCTCGTATCTTCTTCCACGTCTCATCGGCCAGTCGCGCGCCATGTCACTCATTCTGAGCGGCAGCACAATCAGTGCCGACTCGCATCTCATTAGCAGCCTGTACCACCAAATCTTCCCTACCCGCGAGGAAGTGCTTCCGGCCGCCGTGGCCTTCGCGCATGAGCTTGCTTCCAAAACATCTCAGGTGTCGATTGCCGTCGCGAAAGGGTTGATCCAGCATCCTGGGGACTCGATCGAAGAGAACCATTTGCTTGACTCGCGTGCGATGCGCGCATTGGGCGCGTCACATGATGGCGAGGAGGGTGTGCGTGCGTTCATGGAGAAACGGGAGCCCAAATTCACCAGCCAGTTGTCCAAAGACCTGGGAGACTGGTTTCCTTGGGTCCGTGGACTTTCGCGAATCTGACGTGCCACTGGTCCTAATTTGCATTTCTAGTGGAGGTCAATTAGGACCGACGTTCCCAAGACCAAATTGTGATGAACCGATGTGTTCTATCAATGTTAATATACATTTCTACTGGGCCCAGGACCATCGGGCTTCAGCGATATTCTCCTGGCTCGTAAGACTTCATCGCAAACCAATATATTCACAGCAATCACAGAGCTATCGGCGAATGAGACAATCAATTGAAATTAGTAGCGACAAACTCACCACGAGTGAAGCATCTGCCGCTTCACGCGGTAGTTTTTCCAGACACTTTCCACTGTATGATCGAATGGCCCTCGCCACCTGAACCGTGGACCGAACCATCGGTTCAGTCCGGTTTCGGGCATCTCGGCGAACCAGACCTAGGGTCCAGTTCAGGTTCGAACCGGGTTCACTCAGGTTCTGAACCGGACCACGGCAACACCAAGTTCCACGGATCGATCAGGAACGCCAAATACTGCTCGGGGGACTTCGCAGCTCTTACCCTGTCGCATGTGACGAGGAGGACATCAGAGAGGAAGTATTTTCAAGCTGTGTGTAGTAAATCTGACAACCCAGTGCAAGTCGGTGCTGCATGGACCTCCGTCTCCGCATTCCTTCCGCAAAGGCGGCAAAGTCTCCGTTCTCTCGGTGTGCGCTCTCGGAATCTCTCGTCGTAACGCAGCAGCTCCGCAGTGAGACGATGCGCAGAGAGCAGGAAGCGTGTTGGAGCTTCGCGATGGGCAGGTACGGGGACCTTCAGCGTCAAGCAGACTCTAGCTCACGGGTCCTCAGTGCGAGATCATCGGAGTTGTACCACTGGACTACACACTCCTAATACCCGCAGCCATAACGTCGGCCTCTCAGGACGTCTTTATTCCCCAGTGTTGATAAGGGTCGGTTGGCACGATGCTTCGGCACGGGGAACCGGTGGACAGTGGCTCACACTTCGTCAATCACAGGTTTAGGAAATTCCGGACTGCATTCTCTCATCCGAACACCCATGTCCACCGTCGATTATTCAGCTCTCGGCTTCAAGAACATCATCGCTCGCCTCGATGGGCCGGTTCTCATTGTTCTTATGAATAGGGCAAAAGAGTGCGTAGCGAATGGGAAGGTTCGAATTGTCCCTCACAGTGCTCATCAGCCGGAACACCTGGAATCGCCCTCTGCCTGTGGAGCTTCGTCAGGTGTTCGAGCTCGCCGACAGGGATGACCGCGTCAAAGTTGTCGTCATGTCCGCAGAGCATACAGCTCCGGCGTACTGTGCGGGGGCATGTATCGCATTCCCGCACTACTTGCTCTTGTCTCATTTGTCCTGTCCTGTAGGTCGACATCTCTGAGGGATGGAGCTTGCTCTGGGACCCAGAAGAGACGAAGGAGGGCCCTCTTGGCCACCGCGACTCTGGTGGGAAGACCTCTCTGGTCATCTACCGCTGCCGCAAGATCACTATTGCTGCAGTCAACGGGCACGCTGTGAGCTATTCCACGTGTCCCATATCGTCATGGTTTCATGTCTTCGCTCTAGGCTGGTGTGGGAATGACCACTATGCAGCTGCCATTCGATTTCCGCTTCATCTGGAAAGGCGCCAAGCTCACATTCCCTTTTGTTCGGCGCGGTATCGTTCCAGAGGCGACGTCTTCCTATCTCCTTGCACGTCTCATCGGCCAGTCGCGCGCCATGTCACTCATTCTGAGTGGCAGCACAATCAGTGCCGACTCGCATCTCATTAGCAGCCTGTACCACCAAATCTTCCCTACCCGCGAGGAAGTGCTTCCGGCCGCCGTGGCCTTCGCGCATGAACTTGCGTCCAAGACGTCCCAGGTGTCGATTGCGGTCACGAAAGGGTTGATCCAGCATCCCGGGGACTCGATTGAAGAAAACCACTTGCTTGACTCGCGTGCGATACGTGCATTATGCGCGTCACATGATGGCGAGGAGGGTGTGCGTGCGTTCATGGAGAAACGGGAGCCCAAATTCACCAGTCAATTGTCCAAAGACCTGGGAGATTGGTTTCCTTGGGTCCGCGAATTTTCGCGAATCTGACTTGCCATTGGTCTTATTTGCATTTCTAGTGGAGATCGATCAGGACCGACGTTCCCAAGACCAAATTGTGATGAACCGATGTGTTCTATTATCGTTGATATACATTTCTACTGGGGCCCAGGGCCATCGGGCTTCAGCGATGTTCTCCCTGCTCGTAAGACTTCATCGCAAATCAATAGATTGACAGCGATCACAGAGCTATCGGCGAATGAGACAATCAATTGAAAATGGTAGCGGAAAACTCACCACGAGTGAAGCATCTGTCGTTTCACGCGGTAGTTGTCCCAGACACCTTCCACTGTAGGATCGAATGGCTCTCCGGTGATCAGATTGATTCCAACGATGTTACCCTCGGCCTGTTCATCCTGCAGGGCTACAACTGCGTTCTGGACATCGAAGTTGCCGTTCTGCGCCAAGGTTTTCGGGATAATCATCAGAGCGTCAGCAAATGCTTGCACACCCATCTTCACTCGACCTTTGGCGGACTTCTTCACTTTGTCCACGAGATGCGCGGAGCATGCCACTTCGAACGCTCCAGCTCCAGGGATCAATGCCTCGTCCTCGATAGCATTTTTGACGGCCCGCAGTCCATCGCGCAAAGCCTCCTGAATCTGAGTGATGGTGTGGCTGTTGGGTCCCTTGATGAGCAAGGTGACCGATTTGGGTGCCTTGACTTCCTCCACAAATGTGTACTTTTCTTCGCCCAGGGTGTGCTCATACACAAGCCCGGCCCAGCCCAGAACGGAAGGTTCAAGATCATCCACAGAATTTTGCGCGATGCCACCAGAGATCAGCTGCAACCTGATCCGACTGTGAGCGATTGTTTGAACAGCCCATAGCATAGATATTACCGTTCCATATTCCTTCGCTTGGCACGACGCAGAGCGAAGATGCCGTTCTTCGCGAGGATATCCAACGAAAGCGGGTCAATGCCCTTCTGATTTACGACCACGAAATTCTTGCGTTTCTCCTTGCTGTCCATCGCCTGATCGCAAACGAGGTTCTTGAGCTCAACGATCTTCTTGACTTTCTGATCCACGACACGTCGCTCAGCCTCCACAAGCTTTTCACGCTGTTCTGCCGACGAGTAGAAGAAGCTGGAGTTGACTTCGCTGCAGATCGTTGTGAAAACAATCGGATGGACGAGGGAATTCTATCACGCACGTTTTTTCATACTCGAGACTGACATTAAGGATGAGGATGAACGCGTTTTCGACGCGTTTAGGCATGTCGGGATGCCGCGCACCGTGATCCATTACCAGTCCACGGACAAGCTGAGTCTCAGACGCGGTTCGATGCTGCATCTTCATGATCTCCACCATGTGCAGGTCGATTGGACTACGCCATTGATCGACTGCATCTGCAAGGGATGAGATAAAGGAGGCACGAGCTGTTGGTTGCAAACCTTTGGGCGGGGGAGGAGGTTGAATAGTAAGAACGGCGTCAACGACATCTGCAGCTAGCTTCTTTGCCATTGCAGCATTCAGTTTGGTGGCGAGGGATGTATTGGCGACATTGATAAGCGTGGCACGATCGAGCTTCATAGGCTGCTTGAAGGTGTCCAAGAACTGTACAACCCTCTCATAAGCACAAAAAAGATGAAAAGGGAAATACAAGGGCAGCGCACCGCCAAAGACTCTTTTTTCGCCAGATCGAACCCCTCCGACACCACAGCAGGATGCACGCCCTCCGAAGTGAATCGATCGGCTTGTTTGAGGAGTTCCCCGACCAAAAGCACCACGGACGTCGTTCCGTCTCCCACCTGGTCATCCTGCGCCACTGCCGTCTTCGCGATCATGGCCGCAGTTGGGTTCTGGATCTGCATCTCTGAGAGCAGCACTTTCCCATCCTTGGTCATTTTGATCTGTCCCGACCCGTCGACAAGCATTTTTATCGTTCCCTTCGGCCCTAAAGGTGACGTTGACGTCGTGAGATGGAGTTTAGAGGGTGATTGGACGCGGATGGCGCGCACCGAGGTTGCCTCTGACGACGTTCGCGAGTCCCATTGCACCATTTGTGTTCACCTATGAGCGCGTTACAATGCTGGATATGACAAATCAAAGTGTTATATACCTGGAGTGCTGCAGCTCGGCGGATGCTCTCCGCCTTGGGGTTTACAAGTTCCAGGCTCGAGGACATTTTGGTGGATCAAGAGTACGCGTTCGACAAATTGAGCGTGGCTGTGTCGCACGCTGGTCACGACATCTCTGATTGTTCAGTCCGCCGATTTCTCCGGCTCATACAATGAAGACAGTCACACCTATTACAGAGACAACAATATAGACAAGATTTCATGGGATATAAGTAAAGGACGGTGTGCGAGTGCAATACGAAGTACAAATGCGAGGGCGAGCAAGCAGATTGAGCGTTGCACGAAGAGAGAGAAATTGGAAGAGAGTGGGAGAGCAGCGGCTTGGCTGCTCGTTAGGTGATACAGTACGATACGCTGAGAGATAGCAGATAGCTAGTGCTTAACATATAGAAAGAAACTGCGTCCATTCGCAGTGGTCGAGGAGCTCTCTCATTCTGTCTCGCCCGGGATACTGGACTCCACGACCTCGTCCAGTTTCTTCGTTCTTGGCTTTCTTTTTGCCGTGGACGATGTGCTCTTCACTTCTTTGGCGACAGTGACAACCTTCTTAGACTGCATCCCCGACTTCTTGCTCTTCAGAGCACTGACAGCGACCACCTCCGTGAGTTGACTGCTGGTCTGAGTTTGTTCCTGCGAGTTGCCTCCAACAGCCATCACTGATGTTGTCGAGGAGAATGAGGCCTCGGTGACCAACGTAGATGACGGGCCGGCAACAAATCGACTGCTGGCCGGCTTGCGCTTGGCGGGGGAACTCGAAATAGACACTTCAGATCGTGCACGGGAGACGGATCGCGTCCTGAGAGCTGACTTGGTCTTGGCTGGCTTCGAGCGTCCCGATGCGCTCTTCAGCGGAGACTTCGCTCGCGAAGTCCGGCCTCGCGAGCTGCTGGGCTTGGGAGATGGCTGCTCCATGTCGACATCTTCATCATCAAAAAGGGCTGTCCCAATCTTTGCGCGCTTGGATTGCCTTGTGCGGACGCTACTATGACTTGCACCGTCGTCGTCGCTGTCCTCGTCTGAGTCTTCGTTATCGCGAGTGCGGAGACGTTTTCTCGGACGAGGATCATGGCACCGCAACCGCGTACAGGACACTAGTTTGTCCTCGTGTACGGTTGAGTCTGCACGGAAGCGCGCACGCTTGTTGTCCGTCTTCGCGTAGGTTAGTTTGCGTTTGCACAGAAGAACGGCACCACGCACGGTATGCATGCCCTCATAGCACCATCCATCAGGAGGACCCATATCGCCTTCCCCTTCGACAGTTTTCCCGCAACAGCCGAAGAGTGTTTCATATCCGCCACCAACCCTCTCCACCTCAGCGCTTTCGTCGTCGTGCCCGATCAAGCAACTCCGATCATTATTTTCGACCTCAAAATAGCCTTTGTGGCAACGGACACAGTGCAACGTTGGGGGCGGCTCGAGTGCCGAGAAAAACTGCGCAAGAGGACCAACGTGTTGAGGGGAAGCGTGGCTGATGCGCGCAAGCACGTATGCATGTAACGCCTTCGGAGGAATAGATTCAATTAAAGCGTGCAAGACGTCGGGATCCGCAAGGTCTGGGGCAGGAGAAGGGGTGGCGGGAGGGCCTCGCGACTGGTCATTACGCGGCGAAGATCCCGACAACACAGAGGGAGAAGGGGTCCGTAATTGGACGGTGGTGTCCTCTTGGGTTGTCTTCTTCGTCAGATCAACACTCGATTTATTGCGCGAGAATAAGCCGAAAACCATAGCTGCGCGTTGTGAGTATGGCAAGGATACAATTCCTATGTGGTCTGCTTGGAGGTAAGTCCTGGATTATCAGAACGATCAGGCGCAGTATATGTAGTACTGAAGTTGTAGAGGGAGAAAGAGTAAAATGATATATGCTGGATGAAGTGCGCCGGGTGTGGAGCTAGATGTTGCAGCCCAGCCCGAGCGAGAGACGAAATAAAGAGAACGTCAGTGGAGCGTGGTGCGCCAGAAAGAAAGCGGACACGCGTGTTACGTTCACACAATGTGACAATGTGACAAGTATGACGCGCAAACATTTGGTCGCCTTCAACAACCCTACTGTGTAGTACCCCCGAGTCGCATTGTCTCTCGAAGTGATGACTGAAGCTTGCCTCCTCCTCGTACAAATATGCGCCAACACTGGCGACGAAGACTGGATACTTCCTGTCCCATATCTCAATGGATGATCACGTCCAAGGCGCAAGTTCCGGAGCTCAACTTGTGTCCGTCCCACTGCGGCCGCTAACGTCTGAGACGACATGCCTCAAGCTTGTCTCTCCTGCGTTGTCAAATGGATGTAGCCTTGCTATCTTCAGTCGCAAGCATGGGGAAGCCAATCGACTCGCGAACAAATCTTCATAAATATACTGAACGTGCACTGACTGTTCTCCCTTTCCACGTCTGGTATCTAGCGAGGGTCGCTTCTTAAAATACGTCTCCACACATCAAATGATTGTTACTGTGACTTCGCAGCCTATTGCCGCGGCCAAAGCCAGGACCCCTGGGAACATCTCGCGCCATCCAGGGATCGTCTTGTGAAATCCTGGTTTCGCGTTTTCAATGCACGATGACGGAATATTTGCACTGGTCCACGAGACTCATATAAATGGTGTCAATGCTCATAATCTAATCACACCATTCGACACGCACTACCATGGCACCGGTTGCAACTGAACTCGCCCAAACCACCTCTGAGCGGATTCAGTCCCTCAAGCAACAAGCTAAAGCCGATGAAGATGTGTCCGTCTTCAATCCCTTCTACTCCCCTTCAATCGGAGACGATGGGGATGCGTCATATGAACATGCTCAGTACAAAGTGCGGCTCCTACATCCATAGTCTCCTTGTCTGTGCTGATGTTTCGCAGCCGTTCTTTCCCAAAGTGTCCTGGCCACCCTTGACGGAGGTCGAAGTTGTTGACCGCGCTCAATTCGCCGATCCCTCTAAGAAGAATCTGCTCGGCGCGGCAAGCAAAGTAATCACTCTCAACCCCACTATCGGGACGGAGCTGCACGGCATCGACCTGCGCCAGCTTTCTGAAGCGCAAAAAGACGAGCTGTATGTTTTTCTCCGCTTCGAAGAGCATTCGCTGAGTATTCGCAGTGCGCTGCTTGTTGCAGAACGAGGAGCAGTCTGCAAGTCATCCCTCGTGTATTCCTTATCTTCAGAGCTAACGAGCCATCCCTGCAGTCTTCCGAGACCAAGAGATCGATATCAACGGACAACTGGAGCTCGCCCGTCACTTCGGACCTCTGCACAAGCATGCGACGACGCCTATTCCTCAGATCGGCCTGGAGGAAGTACATGGTCCGTCCCTGGTCACATGCCGACCGTGCGACTCAATGTTCTGTTTCAGTCGTGTACAATGACTCTTCTCGTCGCCCGGATCCTGCTGCATTCTCAGCCCTAGAACTGTGGCACAGCGACGTCTGTATTTGTCATTCTTGATGGCGCAGAAGCTGATCGTTTCGCAGGTCTCGTACGAACTGCAGCCACCGAGTACGACGTCGCTTAAAGTCATTGCGGGCCCCGAGTACGGAGGAGACACGCTCTGGAGCTCAGGATACGCCCTGTTCTCGTCATTCAGCCCGGGCTTCCAGAAATACCTCGAGGGCTTGAGCGCAGTGCACAGCGGTGTTGCACAAGCCGAAGGATCCCGTGCTGCTGGACTGCACGTTCGCAGAGAACCCGTCGAATCCGTTCATCCCGTTGTCCGTGTTCATCCGGTCACAGGATTCAAGAGCATCTATGTTAACCCGGGATTCACACGCCGTATCGTTGGCGTGCCAAAAGCGGAATCCGATGCGCTGCTGCAGCTGCTGTTCCAACAGCTATCGCAGAACCCTGAATTCCAGGTTCGCTTCCGGTGGGAGAAAAATTCGGTTGTCTTCTGGGTTTGTAGTGCCTTTTTGGCTCCTCCATGGCATGCTGACCTTTCGCCAAGGACAATCGCATTGTCACGCACTCGGCTACATTCGACTTTTGGCCTGCGCGCCGGCACGCTCTTCGCGCAACTCCCCACGGCGAAAAGCCGATTTCAGTGGCTGAGTATGAGGCATCTGGAAAAGTCGCCAAGGACCGCCGCATCGAGGTTTGGCGGCAACAGGGCTTGGAGCCGCCCCATGTTGGCGGCGGACCGGCCAAAGTTCGCGGGTACAATGATTGAGAGTTTGTAAATGTACATATGTAAAAGTAGATCCAGTGAAACAAGACAAGAGAATCACAACGTTTTCAACGACGAGTGGGGGCTTGGATTGATGATTACATACAGAGGACTACATAGACACAACCAACTTAATCGTCGTCTTCGTCCGAATCATCGTCAGCTTCCTCGAGCCACTGTACATAAGGGTCAACGGGGAGTGTAGCAAAATCAACGAATGGACACACCTTGAGGAAGGGCTCGCTGGCTTTACGAACACGTTTGCTAGTGTCTTTGTCGACGTACTTCTTGCTGACGTGAGTACCCCACTGAGTGACGACCTCTTCTTCGAGAACATCTGCCTGGTACAAGGCCATGAGGATCTTGGGCACCTGGGGCAACAGATCGGGGAAGGCCAAGCCCACGAGACGTTCGACACCGCCTAGCAAGGCTTTCTGGTGTTTCTCAGAGGTGACCATCTGACGTAGACACGTGAACAACAAGTAGCACATTGCTAGAGAAACGCACCTTCTGAAGAAGCGGGGCGAAGTCGGGGATCTCCGTCAAGACGTCCTCAGTGAAGATGGTCACTAGGATCAGAACGGTCTTGTGTTTCTTCTCAATCCCGAGTTCCTCCGCCTTCTTGTAGATGGCGACATTGAGAGCAGGAGGTTCCATCTCTGGGGCGTCCATGATCCAATTTCCGAATTGGGTGTACGGGCTGTTGCCATCATCGTCGCTGCCATCGTCGTCCATGCCCAAGCCGTTCATGCCACCTTCGAGCGCCTTGATGCGAGCCTTGACAGCTTCGGGAGACGTGTCGGCCGACCAGTCCTCTTTCGCCAAGGCGGTGTCCTCGTTGAGCTCCGCAGCCTCGGCCTTGATCTTCTTAGTCAACTCATCATCGCTCTCAGCACCGCCATCCCCATTCTCTTCGGCCCCGTTCTCGGGAGACTCGGCATTGGCACCGCCGACCCCGGCGGCAGCATCGCCCGTGTTAGCCGCCTTCTTGCCTTTGCGCACTTTGGCCGGCGGGTTCTTGAGGATGAAGGTAGTGAGCTTGTGGCGCATGTCAACGCCCGTCCGCTCGCCACAGGCTTTGCAGTCGCGGATGATGTCCTCCTGGCGACCGCTCTTCAGGATGATGAGCTCGGTCTCGGGATTCTTGCATGATTTGCACAACACGAACTTCTCGATGAATCCATCGAGCAGCTCGCGCAGGCGATCGGCTTGATGCGCCCCGTTGACGATATATTTGTCGTTTTTCTCGTCGACAGAGGTCTGGGCGCCGAGTTCGGAACCAAAGAACTTTGTGGTGTAGCTGGGAGGCCGGCTGAGTGCGCGTGCGACATCGGCCATGTTGGGGAGGACGGTTTTGATGCCATTTCCTTTGCCCTCGATTTTAGTGAGGAGAATAGGCATCCTGAGAAGACATATCGATGAGGAGGAGCTTGGAAGTGCTGTGAAGTTACATACCGGTAGCGGTAGAATTTATCGTCTACATCGCGACGAATGTTGACGAATCCAGCCATGGTGGGCGAAAAAGCTTATTTAGCGCTGTGGAGGTCATGAGCACGGTGCATGAATAAGGGAGCGGAACTCGCAACGCACGAAACCGGAAAGAAAATGGAGCGTTATGGATCTTCTCTGTTCAGATATGATTGGAGGACGAAGCATGGATCTCTGACTAGACAGAGAGATGCTGTGGGTAGAATAGAAGTGGGTCGACGCTATCGTGGATACGTATGTCCTGGGGATGTGGCGGGATGGAGGAAGGATGTGCAGTGCAGGATGATGATGACCAGTGAAAACTGTAAAGATGGCAGTGCTCAGCTGACTCAGTGACACGTGGTAGCATCCGGCTCAATGATGGCTCGAGCTGACTAAGTATGTGGATGTCCGAGCCTGACTTGGGTCCAAGTAAGTACATACTGGGTAATACAGGTCGAATGTCAGCTCTCTTAGACAGGTGTTACTAGGCGAACAAGTCCGAGAGACGACATCTGAAAATGCAGCGCAAACGATCACGGACCAAAGCCTGTCCCGGAAACGAATCTACTCCGCGCACGGAGGATCAGAATTGTTGGGAGGGTCGCACTACGTCAATATGGCGAACAGCGACGGACCCATCTGAGTCTGTTACAACAGTAGCCCTTCAAGTTTGGAACCGAAGGATTCACGAATCCGTTGCCGCGTTGTCTTGACACTGGAAATCATGCCTCGTCGATCTTTCAAAGCAGCCGTTTCATCTCCAGCGAGAAATGAGGAAAGTCGGGGCCCATCCAAATTTCAGTCCCCTCAACAAAAAAGGAACCCGCGGGCTCAGAAGCGAGAACGTGTCAGATGGCTCGGACGCGAGTCTATGCGGTTTCTCCGGCCAGAAGCAAGCGTAGGCTTCGACCCTTGCGGGTCTGGAGATGATGCGAGGGGTTTTTCATATGGGATACGTAGTCTGCGCGGAGGCCGAGAGAGGCGGGCAGCGTTGCTTGAACGAACAGGACAGCGCATTCACCAAGGAAAAAATTATATCGCGGCAGCATGAAGAGAAAGCCTGCAGGCGCCAGACAATTATCAAGTTCCATTTCGCAGGGTGTTCAAGTCCGGGATGAATGCATTCGCCAACAGCTCCAACGCAGTGAAAGATAGTTCAAAAAATAGGAAATGGCTCAGGACATGGTAGAGATAGTGAGGGAGAGTGTCACGAAGTCGTCACGCCAAGCGTCTCGTCTTGCTTCAACCCATCCAGAGCCTGTACTGTGTCTTTCTAGTGTCTTTCTTGCTTCTCGAACTCTGCGCTCATACGTCGGCGCGCGATTTCGGGTTTCCATCACTGAGATCAGGCAGCATGCTCAAGGTTATGCCGCTAAGGATCTCGAGGCGCTCCTATCCCGATGATATTCTCGACTTCCCGCTGGCTCGTAGAGTAACTCTCGAGGAAGCAGAGATGCCGCTGGGTCTACGGAACACACTGTGGTTCTAAAGGGTTTCAGACGGTCTCGTACAGTTTCCCCGCCTTGGACGCCGCATGGTTGCTAGCACGATCTATAAATATCGCGCGGCAAGTAATGGCCGAACCGATCATCATAAGTATGTATCATGTTTTGTTTTAGTGTCTCTCTAGATCTCTGTTCTCCTCCCTTCTTCCTCCCGTCTCCCGCCCACTAATTCCTTCCTGGCGATGCTCTCCCCGTCCACTGTGCTGGGCGCGGCCCTTCTACTCGCCAAGGCAAACTCTGTGCTGGCTCGTAAGTGGCGTTCTTCAGCTCCAGATGCGAATTTAAAATTAATTCTTCGCAGAGGCAGAATGTGCTCCCTACAACGACGCGACCGTCAGCGCTGCCCTGCCCAACTTCCCTCCCATCTGGCAGCCTGTGACTGGCTTACTAGCTGGCGACGCCGAGGGAAAGGCACTGTTTTCGTCGTTCAGCTCAAAGATCCCGAACATCCAACCCAAGGTGTGTTCGTAGCCTCGACCACACAGCATCCCTTTCTCACGATAGCAACAGGGAACCAACGGTGTTCCCGATCCCAACTTCGCATACGCTTCGGGCGATCCTGACTGCTGGTGGACAAACCAGCAGTGTGTGCAACCCAAAGCGGCTGGTGTCAAGGCTGATGTCGCTTGGGTGCCGGAGGTGTGTCCGTTTTGCAATAGTCTCTCAAACCTGAATAACTCAACTCAATAGCCTCAAACGCTCGGTTATGGTTTCGACGATGGTCCCAATTGTTCGCACAATGCTTTCTACGACTATATGTTGTCCCACAAACAAAAAGCTAGTGCGTGTCTCTTGCTCATATTGGTGCCTGTTCACTCAGCATGTCTTTCCAGCCTTCTTCTACATCGGTTCCAATGTCATGGACTGGCCGCATGAAGCTCAACGTGCGATTACTGATGGTCACCACGTTTGCGTCCGTGCGTCGATCTGTCTCAGCCCATTATCCCCATTCCAACCATCTTGCAGACACATGGTCTCATAGGTCGATGACGGCCTTCACCAACGAGCAGGTCTTCGCGGAGTTATGGTACACGCTTAAAGCTATCAAGCTCGTTACCGGATACACTCCGACCTGCTGGCGGGTAAGTCGATTAACCCCGATGGATGATGTGCACTTGCTTACATGATCGCTCCATCAGCCCCCTCTCGGTGACACTGACGACCGTGTTCGTTTCATTGCTCAGCAAATGAACCTGACGAATGTCATGTGGCAATACGATTCATTCGATTGGGAAGCCGGCTCGAACGGTGTGACCCCGGCTCAGGTCCAACAAAACTACAACAATCTCGTAGCAGCTGCTAATGCGGGCAAGTTTGCTGATGTAAGTCGCCTGCTTCAATGCTGTTCGAGCGCGATTGACGGCTCGCTCAGGTCGGCGCGATCATTCTGGCACACGAGTTGGACAACTACACCATGCAAACGGCCGTTGACAACTACCCGAACCTGACCAAGGCATTCAAGGTGTGTCGCGTTCATCAGTGGTTCCGTTCTTCCGTTTCTGATGATCTCTGAAGCACATTGTCCCAATTGCCGTCGCGTTGAACCAAACTCAACCATACGCCGAAGCAAACTTCTCGATGCCCAACTTCAACCAATGTGAGTTTTAGATCCATCGTATTCTTTATCTTGTGGCTGATGTCATCGACAGATATTGGTGTCGCCGACACTTCGTCTGCTTCACCGTCTGTTAGCGCCTCCGGCAGCGCTTCCGCCTCGGCTCCGTCTGGAAGCAGCAAGAGTTCCGCTGGGTCCGTCAGCTCTTCGAACTCGAACTCGACAGCTTCCGGCAAGAGCGGAGCTGTCTCCACACAACTCACGCACATGAGCTCGATTGTTGCATCTCTTGCACTGATCGGTGCCGCCGCTTTCCTGCTTTGAATGATGATCTGATTGCTTCACGACCTGGACATCATGCTGCTGATACGTACATACTTAATCACCCGACCGTGACCAACCCGTCCTATCCCTCAGGCTGTCGCTCGCTTTCAGGCTTATTTATTGACTCTAGAACATACTTGTGTCAAGAGCCGTCTGTATATAGAATAAAAGCCTCGCATTCGTTTATCACGTGTGTTAAGAATCCGTCTCCCCTGTTACCGCGGTGAAGCACTTGAGACGTGGCCTCGTACCTCGAACGCAATGATCTCGCTCCGCTTCCTGGGGCTCCTCGCCATCGTCGCAGCTCTATACGTCGCTCTACGCTTTGAGCTTCATAATACCCCGACTTTGCGCGAAAGCTTTCAAGCGCCGATTTCCGCGTTCCAGGCGTTTTACGGCTCGTTAGCGCGACCCGAGCCTGCAGCGTCGGGAATCCCCACAGGAACTGCAACTACACCTCATTCCCAAGACCCGCTATCCTCCACCACAAGCTCCACGCGCTCGGCATACACGCGCCACATCGTTGCTGTCGGTGACTTGCACGGAGACCTCAAGAACGCGCAGAAAGTGTTACAGTTTTCGGGTGTGGTCGATGATCTCGGCGACTGGACTGGCCACGCCGACTTCTTCGTACAGACTGGGGACATCATCGACCGGTGGCTGTTGTCCGTTTGCGACGTCCCGAAGGAAGCTAACGCAGAACTGGTAGGGGAGACGATACCATCAAGCTGTACAATTGGATGGAGAAGCTACGCGTGCAGGCCGCTGCTGTTGGTGGGACGGTCATGTCTCATCTGGGTAAGTAGCTGGTGCTGTCCTCCAGTAGTCGCTGACTCTATAAACCCTCGTAGGTAACCATGAAGTTATGAACGCCATAGGTTCGTATCGGTTGTCAATATGCGCCGGCTGCACATTCTGACTATCCACAGGCGACTGGAGGTACTTTCTGGCTGATATATTGTCGCTCAGCAGGCACTCATTCCTCGAAGATATGTCTATCCCTCCGAAATCGCGACCTTCGGAACCGTAGCGGCGCGTCAAAAGATGATTTCCTCGGGCCCGATCGGACGCGCTTGGGCGCAGAACTACACCTGCACCTCCCGCCTACCTCTCCATCCACACCTAGGCGGACCCAACACGCCATTCCCGCCACCCGACCACCCCGTCTACTTCCGCAAGGACGACGACGGGTCCGAGGACGATCCGGCGTCGTATTACAGTGCCAACGAGCCGCTATCGCATTCTGCTCTGTCGTTTGTCCATGGAGGGTTGTCTCCAACGTACAGCAACCTCGCGCCGTTCCCGAGCAAAATCAACGAGCTGTCGGCTACGCTTCTCAGTCGGCTGCAGAACAGGCAGCAACCGCCGCCCCATCCTCCCAACCAGTATCCTGGGATGCCCCACGGGACAAGTAAGGAGGAGGTCGAGCTGTATGATTCGAACGGCCCATTCTGGTACCGTGGATGGGCAACAGACACCGAGGAAAATGTGTGTGTCGACGTCGAGAAGGTCCTGGCCAAAACAGGAACTCGGCGGATGATCATGGGACATACACCTGATTTCAGCGTATGCGTGTTCCCGAGACAGCTGGGTCAAGACTGACATGTGTGCAGAACATCGTGTCGCGTTGCAATGGGAAAATCATCATCATTGATACAGGTCTGTCTGAGTCCCTCGCTCATATACGCGCTTTCTCACTGATAGACAGGCATATCGCATGCATATGGTGGCGTTCTGTCTGCCCTTTCTATCCACTACACCTTTACCCCCGTGGGAGATGACGCAGCCGGACAATGGAAGGAACGAGAAGTTGTCAGTGCGCTGTATCCAGACAGGCAAGAGATTATCATCGATCTGGAACGCGATGTGGTCGGAGAGTTCTCCTAGAGACGCAGAGGACTACAGTGTACAATAGAGTATATGGGATATATTTATCGTCCATGATGCATGATTATCCACCCATCCGTCCAGAAAGAGAGACAACGCAAAGAATAAAATCATAAACCCTAACCAAAAATGGTGCTCAACCGCGACTTGCTGGATGGCTTCCCCGTGAGCTCGATAATTTTCACCTCCCGTTCCTTCTCATCAACATCAAACATCTTCCGCAGGCCATCGACCTCCTGAGATTTCTCCTGTAGATTGCTAGTCGCCTCCCGTGCATTGTTCCTCGTGACATCGAGCGCCTCCGTGTGCGACGTGAGCAGTGCCTGCGATGCCTCGAACTTGGCTCGGGCAGCCATGAAAGCGGCCTCGTGCTTCTGGAACGTCGTCAAAGTCTTGTTGTACAGCGTTTGAGCCTTCTCTTCTCGCTGTGAATGGAATGAGGAACACACGGAAGAATGCATCTCATCAAACGCACCTTGGCTGCAGTCTTTTGGATCTTCTGCAGTTCGGCAAGCTCCTTGATGGATGTATTCAAGGCCTTCTTTTCCGTCTTTGCTTCAGCCTTGATGATCTTAGTGAGCTGTTTCTTGCTCTTCGCTGCCGAAGGTCAGTCAAGGACAAAGCGAAACAAGCGGGTGGAGCTCACATCCGCTACGAGCCACCTTGGCCTTCTGGTCCTCGCTCAACGCGGCATCCGCTGATGCCTCCCGAGCGTGCAAGCTCTCATTCGCTTCGGCTGTTGCGAGCGGACCCGTGGTTCCAGCACCAGCAATGAAAGTTGAGCCCGCCACAGCGTTGCCATCCACGTTGGTGAACACGCTGCGAGGGGCGATGGAGGGTGATGTGCCGCCAGATTGGCCACGTACGTGACCCTTATTAGCCGAGGAGGATGAAGGAGAGGAGGTGCGCGCGGGCAGGGGTTCGACGATGTCATGTGCTTCAGTGTGCTCGGTCGTATGCTCGGGTTCCAGTGCAGTGACGGGCGCCTTGGCGTCAACAGGCGCATCGCTGCCGACGGGTCCTGGTTCAGTGGCGGGGAGCAACTCGGGATCGTGGGCGGGAGACTCGACTAAGCGCGGAGGGGTTTCAACGGTCGGGGTCTTACTGGCCATGATGAGGATGGGGGCGTCGAAGTAAACAGAAAGTTCGCTGGAAGGTGTAGGGTTCATGGCGTGCCCAATGCTTGGATGGAGTTTAAGTAATTCGGGGGGTATTAGTACGTCATGACCGATTGACACGCTCGATGGTGACGCGCTGGGATAGGGGCTCAAGGTTTAATTGAATGCGTTCATCGCTTCACCACGTGGCGAGAAGAACGCGAAAAACGTTGACCGCGTCGGTTGTAGCCAATTTCCTGCGCGGAGATGACCGGCGCCATCATCTCATAGATGCCCACTTTCTGGAGTCGCAGGTCCCGCGGATGGCGCCAGCGTGCGGCTGCGTCTTGCAGCTGGAGCCGCAGGAGTGTCGTGTTCTCCCGAAACAACGTCGTAGCATCCTTGAGCATGTCGCCTTCGCGCGCGGTTTTCTTCACTTGCGTAATTACAAGCGATCGCAGGCAGTGTGTGATGCTTTTGAGTGCATTGGAGAGCTCAGTCTGTGCAAAGTAATTAATAAGGGTACAGCCAGATACCGAGATCGCACCGACCATTCGGAACGTAGGATCCGTCGAGCAGGATAGTTCCAAATGAAGAAGTTTAGGTGCAGATGTGAGAATATCGGTGAAATATTGCGTGTGTTGGTTGTTTACGTCAGCGTCGCCGGAATCATGACAATCAATCCAAATGCGGAGCGAGGAGAGCGACGGAAATTGAGAGATGGCCCACAGAGCACCCGACATCAAGTACACTCCATGTGCATGATTTGTGAGCTCCAGACTCTGTAGTTGCGCGACATTGGGCATGTGGCGGACCATCAGGAAGTGGGCACTGAAATGTTCGAGCTTCGGCAATGCGGCGGGGGGTAGATTCAATGACAGGGGGAAGTACCATCCCTCCAGCTGATGGAGAACAACGCTTTCGAGGTTCTGATGATATGCCAAGAAGTCCGTCATGTTCTTATGATTGGTGCCCGACTCGGTTGCAAAAGCGTCAAGAAGGACGAAGTCCCCGAGAGTCAAGTGTTGAAGTTGAGGCCATCTGCCTTGGAAGAGTGGCCGTAAGTCGATGTAGCGCTCGTTGACCGTGTCTATCGAAAGATGCCGCAGATTCGGACACCGGTTAAGCAGCATATCCCAGAAAGTGTCAGGGAAGACATCGAAAGGAGGGTGCATGCCTAGGGGTAGGTGAGTATTTCAACTACAGCACGGAGATTTCCATACCGCCGCCGACCAGCTGCTTTACTTTGAGAGTGAACCCTTGGAGATCATTGAATAGAAAGAGCTATGATCGCATGAGTGAAATGGCGTCTCTGCCTCAAGGTGACGTACAGAGCTGTTGGTGGGCATAACTTTCTGCGAGCTGGTCCGAGGTGAGCGTCTTGACTGGACAAACTCAAAATGAACGTCATACCGGAAGGTAAAATCCCCCAGGCCAACAGTAACACCCACATGCCGCAGTTGAGGACATCTGGAATGTGGTTGTCAGCATCCTCCCATGCTCTCTAGTCCCCACGGTGTACGAACGATTGACGCAGCGAGACCCAGACACGATCATACTTGACGAACTCCGTCCCATCCCATATAAACTTGCGCAAGTTGACCAAATGGGGTGCGAGCTGATCGATCGTAACCGCCACCCAGCTCTCGATATCCCGCATCCCCGTCTGCGCGTCCGCGCCCGCCCACTCTTCATAGTTGGGCCGCACGACGAGCGTCTTGATGCACCGCGCGACGTGGGGATGTTTCATCAGAAAGTTGAGCGTCAGCTGGCACTGAGTGCTCGAGCGCAGATCCACCGAGGCATACAGCGTCGGCAGGAAGAGGGAAAGGAAGTGCGCATTCTGCAGATTTCATATACACAGAGGTAAGCACAATCAGTCGAAAATGAATTCCGAGCCGTCCGGACGGGGAAGACAAACTCACACAGAGCGCGAGATTGAGCAGGTCCACGCGGGACAGATGTTTCGCTGTTTCAAGCATGACATCTTCCGGGAGCTGGCTGATCGTCGGGCGTGCGCTGGCTGTGGGATTGTTCAGGAGTAGCTTCAGAGAGCTTGGAATTCGCCGCAGAAGCTTGGATGCCATCCTAAAGGAATGTGAGGTGAAGGAGAGACAGACGTGCGAGGTGGAACGCGTAGGGAGTGGTGGATAGAGTTAAGAGAGTGTGCGACAACATACGCCGCCCGGACTGGCGCGCTGTTGAATCGAAGTTGATTGAAAGGTGTGCTGTGTCTACTGCCGAATTGAGCCGATGCACGCGATCATCGATCAACAACTCGCGCAGAATCCTTGCTGGTGTCCATGTAAGACTTGATTGGAGTCCGTTGTGCGATGGGTATGTACATAGATTTGTATTGGAAGATACTTCTCCGAGATGCCCGGGAGCCCCCAGGTTCTCGACTATTCACATAAACTCCAGCTTAGATGATCTTCGCAACCTCAGCATCGATGGCAGCGGGGGTGGTCGTTGACGCCCATCGCTGCACGACCTTGCCCTCCTTGTTGATCAAAAACTTCTCAAAGTTCCACTGCACGCATGTGAGCAAGCCGCACAAAGAAAGTATGCTGCGCTTTGATGTACCTTGATCCGGGACAGTCCCAACAGCCCGGATTTCTCAGCCTTGAGCCATTTGTAGACCTCGTTCGTCTGGTCTCCATTCACGTCCGACTTTTTCATGAGAGGGAAGGTGACGCCGTGGTTAAGCTCGCAAAAAGTCGTGATCTCCTCGTCCGTTCCGGGTTCTTGGCCACCGAACTTGGGCTTATCAGAATCGAAGAATGAAGTGCCGGAGAAGAAGCGCACCTGATTACAGGGGAAACCGAGGATCGTAAAGTTCTGGTCCTTGTACTTCTCATAGAGGGCTTGGAGACCTGCCCAATGTCAGCGATGCGGTGAATTTCCTAGCGAAATTGCTCCTACCCTTGTACTGGGGTGTGAATCCACTGGATGAGAGTCAGCATCAAGTCGAGCAGTGACTTATCGCCAACTTGGCCAAGTACCATTGAGACGCAACGTTCACGATCAGGACAGTCTTGCCTTTAAGCTCAGCAAAGTCAAAGAATTCATCGTTCTTCTTCTGAGCCTTGAGGGTATAGAATGTGGAATCGGACATGGTTGTTGAGTGCAAGAAAGACGATGATAGACATGGTGATGATTTTCAAGCAGGGCCATGAAAGCAGTGCACTGATCATACGCATGACGTGATCTGCTTGCATCAAATCGTAAGTAACTGCTGATTAACCGGCCCGTGCTATAGCCGGGCGTAGATAGGGGCCAGATCCATCAAAGCCTGCTGCGTGATTGACCTGAATCGGCGCGAATACCGCGTGTAAGGCGGTCTGTGCAATTGCGCGTGGATGAGTTTCAAAAGAGGCTCGTAGTTCGTCGGTTTGCGCATTAGCACGGTGTGGAAGGCGTGCATCCCCAGCCTAGAACCAAGTAGCATCAGACTGATGAGTCGCCGGTGAAGGACGGACCACAAACCAGGTTGCCGCTGCCTTCTGTGTCACGCACCGTGCGCCATGTGCCGCTGCGAATTGCGTGGTCGACTTGTTCCGGGTGGCAGCCCACGAGTAGAACACCATCTGCTGGATCGTTGCTGCGCAGATCAGCATGCATTCCCACAACAAGCGCAAACTCACTCCAGATGAAGGGCGTGTGCCTCCGCACATCGATTCCCCATTCGCTCAGATACGAGTTCATCTTCAGCGCACAGAGTAGAAAGTTCTGGTAGATATTAGTTAGGACCGCCGTTTGACTGTTCAGCGTCGAGTCATTGAAGATGACATGAGTGCGAGCTTTCGCGAGCCTAAAAGCTTGATGAGTGGGTACATGAATGCAGCCGGCTCCGGCTCACAGAAGCATCTTGTGCTTGAATGCAGTGCCAGGTCGCCGTCCCCGGGTCACAGTCAATGTCCCTTTCAAATCTAGCACAAAGCCAATGAGTTTGCGGCGGACACTGGATGTGCACGACGCACCAGAATCGTGGTACCGGCTGTATTCGACGGAAACCGAGAGGTCTCGAGTGTCCATGACATAGCCACACCAAGGAAAGCCTGCAAAGAATCGTTGGAACACGGACAAAATCTCAAGCCACATACACACACACCTTTTGCCAATGGAATCGAGTTGAGATGTCCGTCGTAGTCGAAATTTGTCAGCGTTTTGTCTTGGGAGATGAAGCATCCGTATTCAGCATGCCCTTCATTTCTTTTAACAATGCTCAGCACTAGAGATTGAGGTGAATCACCTCGATTCATCACATCCAGGAACCGCCTCGCCTTGCCGAAATCGGCCGTGATAAACAGATAGTCGTCCGTTTGCCTCAGCAAAGTCTGTTCACGTACATTGGCAGGGCGAGGATCAGGCAATAAACAAATTCACGCACACTTCGTTCATCCTGGCTAAATGCGTGAACCTTTCCTTCCAGATCTCCGTAGAAGAAGCAGCATAACAAGGTGGACAAGATCGATCCTTGGGGGATTCCAACAGTCTGTCGATAGTAGTCACTCCCGATCTGTGCAGGAAATCGGTAAATAAGGTGTGGTGAATGGCGTCGAACTTCATACTTTGACCATATTCTCCTCGATATGCTCTTCGAGAAGGTGCAAGATTTCTTGCCGCTGAGTTTGAGAGTACCTGACTTGGTCTACGAAAATGGTATTGTGCAAGACACTTGCTAATTTGGCGGCAGTTTGCAGGAAATGCGGGTACTCTTGTCGGCATCTCAACCACGAGTGACAAGCACGCCAACCAAAACGACTCACCGGAGCCGGGAACAGCAGTCTGCATGTATGTACGTTTGACGTTTCCCACTTCCGGAGCGACTTTGGCATATCTGTGGATGAGATACTTGTCTTCGGATAAGATGTTCCGCAGGATCTCGAGCAGCTTCCTCTGCGGGATGGTATCAAAACACGCTTGGACGTCCACCTTGACAAAGTACAGCTTTGGGCTGTGGCATGTCAGCGCTCGAAACGTAACTGGCAGATCGACATACAGACGTCCGGCATTGCCTTGTAGCAGCCCTTGCTTGAACGTCTTGAGGCGGACGTAAACATGGTCCACGTTGAACACCGAGGCTCCAACCAAATGTGGTCGATGATCTCTTTCGTAACTCAAGATCTTGAACGCAGCGTGCAGAATTTGATTGATGGATCGTCCCTATGCGAGGTCAGCGCGCTCCGCTCCCTAAAGAACGCAGGGAAAGAACCGACATCCTGCGCAGATCCTTTCCGCTTCAGATTGGCGATGGGACGAACACCAGTTTCCTTGGGAAGCAGACGAATGAATGAGAAGCCCAGCTTGCGCTGACGCAACATCTGTTTTGCTTCATCCTGATGCTGGCATCAGCACAAGAAGCGGGAAACATAGATGCACGCACCACGGGGATCTTTTGAAACGTCCCCCCGGCCAAATGGTCGATAAGCGGAGCACAGAGAAACTCCCAATCATCGTGCCGGAAATACAAAATCTGATTACGAAGTGCGGACGATTCAGTCACATAGAACGTGGTCTGGAGCCGGGATTAGACGGGATTCAAGGACGGGAGATCACACCGACCCTGAGCAACGGCAGCAAGAACGAGTCGAAATACCAGAAGAGAAAATCTTCCAGAAGCTGGCGTCGTTTGAGCGCATCAGTGACCGGGACACGCTTCTGTTGAGTGCCAGAGCCAGGGGGCATCAACCAGTCGCATGCTGACGTGCTGAACCCTTGCACTATTCCGTGCAATGACAGACTCTCGTAACGGCGACATGCGATGAAACGTTTGACATCTGGGGATATGGATGTCAGAGTCGCACAACTGGAGCAAGTAGTGCGCACGGCGACAAAGATGCTTGAAATTCTCTTCCGTGCCCCAAAAAGTTTTGGGTATCACTGCTTTCGAGACGAGAATAACATAACGATATACCTGTCACATTAGTCAGGCATCCGCGTGCGTGGCGAGTATAAGTAGAACCTCGTTGTAGCTGCACGAGTACTCTACGAACCGCGGTTTGTTCTTGGCGTGGAATGCAGCCTGCGTTAAGCCATTGGGTTGGATGCTGTTTCCCTCCGAGTCGAGTGAGTGATCGATAGGAGGTGGCTGTGTTCGAGGGTTTGATGACGGATGCTCGGAGATGAGTTCCTGGACTAACGATGAGGTGAAGGCAAGCACTTTTTTGTGGGAAACGTGCCAGAATTACGCTGCTGTCTAGATCCGACTTTCTCAGCTGACCTGTCTTGGCGAAAGTAAGCCCGGGTCAGCCTTGCAAGTTTGTAGAACTAACCTTCGTTGGACAAGTGAGGTCGCGCAATCTCGAGTAACTACATTTGCCATGCCGCCAAAGGATCTTCTCTAGCATGGGTACTGCGTCTTTGAGACGTTTGGGTGTCTTGAATTGTCCCAGGCGCTGGAAATACGTCACCGGCATGCTCAGGAGTTTCTTGAACCCATCCATGCTCACCCGAATCTCATCTTCTCTATCCCCGAAATCAGGCAGCCTGAACCCCTCTCTTCTCGGCAACTCGAAGCGAAACACGTTCGCAAGTCCATATTGACGCGGGAATACATATTTGGAAAGATGTCTTGCTTGTTCCATAAGCTTGACAGGGCCGACACTGTCTGTTATGCGGTTGCTTTTCGGCCCGTTGAGGCGATTGAGCACATCTATGAGTGCATGAGCTTTCCGCAAGATGGCATTGTTAGCGCGCAAACGTTTCGAAGGGAGGCCTGCGATTAGTTCCCGGGCATTTCGATGCGAGTGGATGCTAGGCCGAGCGTAAAATAGTTTGGATCGAGCGAGGAGAACTTGTGAAGGACTCGGTCTATCCTTTTAAAATGGGCACCGAGAGCACGTGGAGTCACATACCGATGCAATTTGACATCTGGGGCACCTCGAGCAGCCGAATTGCCGTTGTCCAGCTTCATTCGCTTGCGAGGTCCTTCGCTCAATCCGAGCAGCTTGCGCTTGGGCACTCGACTAGTAGACGTTGATTCACCGTTGTATAGATGAGGGTCGTCGAGATGGATGTATGCAATCGGTGTCCCGGATAATTGACAAAAACAGTCGTTCGGAAGAGCGAAGAAAAAGCTCGAGTTTGCCAGCAGGTGGACCATCGCGTCGGTGCCGATGCTATCGGGTACCTGTGAATAGTTCTCGCGGACGTGAGGGATAGAGGCAGACTCACCGTGAATGGAGCGTTTCCCATTCATCTGAGCACAACGCGATGACATTCGTGTTGACTTGACGATTGTATAACCCCTCAGCGTGCTTGTTCTTTGGGGAGGTTATCACTGGACTGGCCATAGATAGTTCATGGGCTCACGAAGCTATAACCCTGTGAGAGCACGTTATCTCGTCCACTGTTCGAAGAAAGGATTTTCTTCACTGTGAACTCGACGGTCTGTCACTCTTGAGTTCGTGATATAGATCCTCTATGTGGAAAGTGATACACACTTCACGCATGGTCGACATGGGTGGTGCGAAACCAACGCGCTTCAAAGCTCCATCTGCATTCGAATCCCCCACGAGACACTGATTCAGCAAGTGAAAGTAAGCCGGCGTATCCGCAGGTCCAGGTGCGTATGACCGTTCAGTCGATCCGAGGTCGACAAGATCTTGCAGGTAACAATGAAGAGTTTTTACGACAGGATAGAACTTTCCAAGAAGCTTCACTGTGACGCGCGGTCGATCTAGTTCAGCGGGCACGAGCGACATCCTAGTTCGCGACTGCAACACGCCGGTTGTAGCTTCCTCGAACTGCAAGAGGACAACAAAGCGTGATGTGACATGACGCGTTTGACGAAACGATCACGGGACACGCCAAGAAGCACTGATTCCTTGTACTCTCGGACCGGAGTGAATCCAGTCCAGATCTGAAATCAGCATGCTCTGAGAGTCAATCTGCATCGAGTATCACTGCCAGTCGTACAAGCTCGAAAGATGAATCGCGATTCTGCTGCTCAGACTCCTTAAAGAGCTCAGAAGGGATTCATTGAAGTCAGGGACCCGGGATCAGTCCATCCACTGATAGGCTACACAGCACACTGGATCGAGCTGTCATTGGAATCCTTGTTGGGTAGCTCAGTTTATTATGTACAAGCTGCGGAGACCGGACTGATTTTCCCTGACAACACGAGGCGCTTATGTACATGATCCAAACCATGAATATGACCGGACCGAAGATACACGCCCGCACGTACGTGGACACAGCAGGACACAGCACGATCCGCATCGCCAGATTTTCAATTGGGGGAAAACATTTCAATTTGCAGAGACGGCGGGGAAGTCGCCAATCATCTCCGGTGCCTCGCAAAGATCGCGGCGCTTTGCTAATAGCCGAGGAGAGACTGGGAGAACGTCGGTAAGGTTTTGGTTATCAACTTGCGTAAGAGAGCTCCGCGAAAGAAGGGTCTCCGCGAAAGAATAGTTCCATGGCGCAAGTACTGCACAGGTGGCATCTTACACGTGCAGGCATCGACTTCCCTTTCAGCTTTTCCGGGGAGGTGCTCGGAGAGCTCGAACCTCGAGCTTTTTGCGCTTGGAGCAACGAGATCAGAACAAAGGCTGAGGATCTAGAAATGGTGTGACTGTCACATTATCAGGCGAGAACACGAGGCACGACATGAGGCATGCCGCTTGGACGCTGGAATAATGAAGAGCGAGAGGGGCAGTGAGTTTCGTTTGACAGAATAGCGGCGCATAGAACGGCGAAGAAGAGCAGCACAAGAAACACACATTGACAGGAGTGAACGGGAGCGAGAGACGGTGGCGGACTGTCGGATCGAACAACTTGCATCATGTTTGTGTATATGTACGCGATAAGAACTAATTGAAACTCCGCGATCGTGGCTTCTCTCATACCGTCAAGCCCTATAACGTGCGCGACGGTTCTGTTACCTCCACCCACCACTTCGCCCTCGGTTTTGCCCTCGGTTTTGCCCGCCATCCTTCACACACGACTATTTCCTCTCTTCCACCCGTCGCGACCGCTAGCAGCAAGCTAGCAATCTACACCTTCGTTCTTTCATCTCTCATCTCTCTATGCAGTCTCGCCGTACTTCCGGTCTTACTCCCCTCTCCATCGTCCTCCCTCATCCGGCACTTCCGCGCCGACGGTCTCATCTGTCTTTAGTCCCTTCGCCGCACACTCCACGAAGTTCCCCAACCTGTTCTTCTCTGGCTTTTTCCACCAACACGAACCGGAAAAGTACCGACAGCTGGAACAGTTGGAACAGCTCAAGTCAGGATCTATCCGAGGACCGTGACTACGAATGGAAAGCGGACCAGGTCTTATTATTAAGAAGGGTGCGTTTCTGTATCCTCCAACGACCTGCCCTAGTCATTTATGCCTCCTCTTAGACGTTGGATGCCCTTCCCCCTCACCTCATGACACCTTTCAATGGACCTATACCCCCCTCCAATCTTCTCGACAAGATTGCCAGAGGTGTATCACAGGCGAAGGGGGAGGATTGGCCCCATTCCTTGCGAGCCACGCGTGTCAAGCTCATAGAGTTAGCGCGAACCATCGCCGAGGAAGATAGTAAACCCCGCAAGTCGATCCCCGAAGAGCCTGCATCGGAGGTTGCGCATGGTTCTTTCCCCCAAGGGGATGTTCTGCAGCCGACCACCAATATCGGCAAGGAAGATCGCGGGTCTGGTTCACGACGACCGCTCTACCGGCAGTCGAGTATGGACTTTCTTAATGCCTCGGATGTCCAGGACAATGACAGCATCGGTCGGTCAGTCATTTCAATCTAATTCTATCTTCTTGTACTTACAGGGCGTGCTGTCAGGCTTTCAAAACGACTTCAGAAGGCGGATCGTTTCATCCCCAACACATCCTATCATCCTTATTCCCGGAGTCAGATGAACTCGCGTTCATCTTCCCCGCCCAGGGCCGATCACGTCCCGTCCTTGATCAGCCCTTCGACCCCAAGCACATCTACCCTATCATCTCTTGCCTCCGTATCTGCTCCGAGACAGCCTTTACTGCGGCGCTCTGCCTCCATCATGTCTATCTCCAGCACTACCAATTCGACTACTTCGACGTCGAGAATGAGCGTCAGTAGCGGGTTTTCTGCTGTTGCTGCTGACCCTCGCGTGCAGCGAGTCCGTCGTTCTGAGTCGTTCTGCTCCCCTGTACCGGTGGAATCACGGTTCAGGCCTGCTGTTAAACGCGCGCCCTCTTACGGCGCTCTTGCTCAAGAAGCACGGGATCAATTGCCCAGTGTTCATGAACATGGGTTTCATGATCTCAGTATCCCCGATCCTTCTTCCGACGACGAGGAAAAGATGCGCAGTCGGCGTGCTAAACGAGCGAGAGTCAGAAAGTCCGGCGGAACCGAACCACCACTCTCACCATCGCCGGCACCGAGTTCACCGGCCATGTCAGAGGCCAAGGCCAGTTCAAGAGCATCAGTCCAAAAGCAGCAGTCGGACACTCGAGTTCGGTCTACCGCCACCGTGAAACGAGGCATACATGTGTTCGGACCCGAGCTTCCTCGACTGGCGACGCCGGCTGCTGAACCTCAAGCCCAGTTGTTGTCTGCCGCTCCGATCCTCGCTTCGCCAACATCAAGCGCCGAACGCGTGAAAACGCTCCGGCGTGCCAAACGCCTGCCTGCTGCTCGCCGTATATCTTTTGGCAGTCTCATTGCCCCGCTTGGAGAAGATATGCATGAGGCCGACCAGGAGGATTCGGATGAAATGCGCTTTGGTCCGGGTCTGGGCAGTGCTTTCCAGCTGCGATAAATCCCGGATATCCATGATCAATTGCAGCCATTCCTTCTGCTCTCTCGTGCAAGCCCGAAAGAAGACAGATTGTAACAGTGTATAAACATTGTACCACTACCGGCCTGGGCCCCCTGGGGGACTCACACCCAGATCTCATCTGGTCCAGCATCTTTCCATTCGCCATAGCGCGCCACACTCATTGGAATCATTTCCCGATATTCGACCGCGGGCTGTAACTCCCATCGCACACTCCTTTGCTTTTGCCTCCATCTCTGTATCAACAACCGGAATCTGTTACCATATCCCTCTATATTCGTTTTCTCATTGCACACTGCTATCGTCTACCGTCGCCGTTTTGGCCGGGCCATTGCTGCTCGGTCTAGCGCGACCTTCGCCTGCTCGCCCCGCCCGCTCCGTTTGATCTAATACATCTACCTGGGCCTTGAATACCACCATGGCCTTGACACATCTCGGCACACAGAAACCAAAAGCGAAGCGTCGCAAATGCTCTCCGTTCTCACGTCACCCTGTTTTTCGTTCTTGTGCTGCTGTTTTCTCCTCTTTCATCTTCGACACACGGACCGGCCATCTCGAATCTGCCGTCCCGTCCCCCAACTCGATCCGCTTTCCCCAGTGTTGCCTTGATGCATATACTCTTGCTCCTGATTTACTTATCGTCTATCTAGTAGTCGTCGCCGCATCGTGGCCTGCGCAGTTTGCACATTTAGGCAGTGTTTTGCGGTAATTGACTGTATACATCATGTTACCGCTGGTGGAAGTGGAATATATAACCGAATGGATGCATATTTCCCGCGACGGCCGTCTACACGAGACTTAGACTCACTCGCTAGGAATGGAGACATGAGTGCACAGTTAGCTAGCATTTTATGACGCACGATGATGATCGGTTCAATGCCTTGTCCAGACTTGCATTCTCTATCAGCATCTGCGCGTCGCGTCGCAAACGCATTTTATGCTCTTGCTCTTCGAGAACCCCCTTCATGTACACCGTTCCCTGCCACCAGTAGTAGCCCGTACCAGCGAAGAAGACGGTGCTGGCAAGGTGGCCAACGGGGTCTGAAGCACGGTTGAGTCTCGGATGGGATGGCATTCCGTGGTCAGCAAGCAGGCGTACTAGACAGCATGGGCTTCTTGAGGATACCGAGTTGCCAGAATCGTGCTGCGAGTCCGAATGCGGCCCCGCCGATAACGTGTCCGACAACACCCATAGTGATCAGAGTACGGAGAGAGAGTGTGTGTTGCGATCAAGGCTGCAGCCAAACAAAGATGCATTGTTGAGCACAGCCTGCCAATAATAAGGACGCGCCGCACCATTGCACACCCTAGATCTAGACTCTCTTTACTCACTCGCACTACTCCGACGCGTTTTCACCCCAGAACCGATATGGCTGATAACTTGACGACCGCTCAGAAAGTTCAGATCGCAAAGGACAAGAAGGACGCCGCCGATCTTGCATTCAAAGAGGGCAACATACCCCTCGGTGAGCCACCGTTTATGTAGACATTACCCTTCAAGATCAAGTGGTTCTAAACTGGGTGCAGCGCTAAGCTCTTACCACGGGGTAAATATGCATCGCATCTGTCCGGGGACTCGTATTGATGGCTACTGCCACAGGCGCTCTTGTATTTACTCGGTCTCGACAAGTGAGCTACGTCCGACCCGTTTCGGCGGCGACTGATGGAAGATATGGCTAGGAATGCTCTTGAAGGAATCGGGATGGCGTCTCCGCCGCCACCGATCGATCCGTCGAAGCCAGATGACAAGACAAAAGAACGAACGGAGGTCTGGTTATTCTCATCTCCGTATGCGTGATTTGGCACGTTCTGAACGCGCGGTTTCCAGGTCGATAACATTGTCGAGAAGATATACGCGAATATGTGCGCTTGCCACTTGAAGAGGGGGAACTGGAAACGAGCCATAGAGACTGCTGACAAAGTAGGACCGCGCTCTCGCTCCCCTTGCCCGCGCTGATGTGTTTGTTACCAGGCCCTGGCGAAGAACGAAAACAACTTCAAGGCCATTTTCCGCAAGGCCAAAGCCTTGTCCGAAGAAGGGTACACCGAACGAGCGATCAAACTGCTCGAGCAGCTGAGGGATAAGAGCGCTGCGGGTGAGTTTATCTTCGTTTCCTGCTCGCTCCGCCTGAACTTCCTTGCCAGATGCACCTTTAGCCACCACCGAACTTGCGCGACTAAGGGCTCTCGACAAGGAGCGAGAGCGTGCGAACAACAAGAAATTGAAGGGTGCGACCTTTCCTTGTT